GAAATACAGTTAATATCGCAAAAGAATTATATATAATGTTATTAATTCAATATTGTCATATTTTTGAGGTATGTCAATAGAAAGGTAAATAATATTAATAGTTTGAAGACTGTATTATCGTAAAACATTACATGTAAAAGGATCTCTAGGCCAGACGCAAATATATGTCTTTAGGGATCTAAGTCGACTAAAACAGCATACTTAACAAAAACATACCTTAAAAAAAGTTATTATTCTTAATGCATAAAGACCGCATCAAAGTTGTAGTCTTCCATACCATTGACTAACGTTTCAATTAAAATAAACTTTTTATTTTTTAAAGACTTATTTTTAAGTAACTCTTTGACGAGGAATTTGTCTAGTGTCGGTGCGCAGTTGGGTACGCGACGTTCGCATAATACATACTAGCCCCTTTCCTGGGTTGAAATTATTCGAGATCCTCATCAACCAGTTACTTAAAGCCTCATAATATACACGCCTTTTCTTACAGTCGTGTTAAATAACAACAGCCTGTATACAGGGTGACATTTTGAACGATGGATATATTCAATGAGCCGATTTTGGTGCTCAATTACAACAACGTTTTTCCATGGGACCAATATCGAAATCTCGAAAACAAATTTATTTTCCAAAAACAAATCGATGATTGATCTTTATAAACAGCTCGCTATTAAAACCATAATTTAAAGTAATTCGGAAACCGACTTACTAACTCGATTTGAAACTTAACTCTGTACAATTAACTATTACTTAAGGTTCTGTTTATTATTTTTTCTAAAACATAAGTTTTTGTAGTTTTTTTAATTTTAAGTCCGTTCACATTTTAATTTTAATTTCATTTCATTTTTTATTTAGTAAGTATTACCTATTGGCTGTATAGTACTGTCATTTGCATATTCTGTAATAACATGTAACGCTGTTGGTTTTCTAAATAAACAAAATAAAAAAAAGTTTTGCATGAAGAAGTTTTTTTTTTTTTTATATTGATCTTATGGAAAAGTTGTCTTATTTGAGTACAAAATCGGGTACTAGAATATAGCCCTAGTTCAAAGTTCCACCCTGTATATTTTGTTAATTTTTTTTTCGTCTGAATATTCTGGAGCGATGTCACCAGTTGTTCAGCCCGTATAGGTCGTAGCGTGACGTTTTATAGACTTTCTTGTTGGATAGGTGATCCAACATAAAAATTATTACATTCAAACCAGTAGTTCTGGAGACGAGAGCGTTTAAACAAACTCTTCAGATTTGTAATATAACAATTATATGTATATATAATATAAATATTGTTATTTAAAGTAAATGAAGTGTATAGCTATATATACATATATAGTTCATTATATATAATAGAAAAAAGTAGTAAAAATGTAATTGCACAATTTACAGGGCAGAGGCCACAGTTTTTTACTTAGGAACAATAAATTCTTTATCAAAAAACAATTCTAAATTCAATTGTTTAAGACTCAATTTTGTTTAAAGCATTTAACATTTGGCTGCACATAAATATGAGCTCTATCCAATACTGATAAGGTTTTAAATCGTTTAAATTGTAGATTTATTTAAAAATAAGATGAATTATATAATGAAGGTAAATTCATAAGTACGAGACAGCACATAAAGTTACCCAAAATTGTGTAATTTATTTAAGGGAAATTGAACTTTATAGGTCTTAGTTATAAAGTCGATAATTACGCGCTGGCGTTTAATACATACACAGAAATATAATATAGGTAAGTATCTTATGAATAGAATTCTCTCATAATAAGGGTAATTAGTATTTAAATTGTTAATGTATATTATAATACATGTATAGATAAGAAAGATGGTTATTATAAACTTACATGACTATAGGTATATATTCTCGAATATGGATAAATAGTTGTTGTGAATGATAAATTTCGCATCTAAATCTACATTAAAAAGGAATAAATTAAAATACAGAGCACATTGAAGTAAATTAACTCATGTCGTGGACGCTCGACTACTTTCATGAAACACCGGGATTCATAATCATGAGTATATATAGCGATTACGATTTAAGAGACAGGTATTAGCTATCTTTGTGCTGAAAATAACATGTTTTTAAGTACAAAATAAAATATAACAACAGCTATTTATCCGTACAATTATATACATACTAGTGATGTGCCGGATCGCTAAAAATGAAGATCCGCGGATACGGATCTGAATACGGATATTTAGTGTCAAGATCCGCGGATACGGATACGGATACGGATCTTCAATTTCTCATAAGATTAGTGTCGATAAAGATAGTTGACGTCTCGCTCGCCGCAACGTCAGACACGACATGTTTTGACTTGCATTGCGCGGGTGTGGTGTCATTCATTTAATTATAGAAAACAATAATTATGTTTTAGTTATTTCACTGTCCTAAAAGTAAAGTTTTAACTTGTTCTCATTATAAAAATCTATGTATCTAAATGTTTGCAATATATAGCCTATATAGGTGCAAAATATATGATTATTTAAAAAAACTAGCTGGATTTTTTTTTATTTCTACCTGATGATTAACTGAAAAAGATCCGTAAAAGATCCGCGTGTAAAGTAACGGATACGGATTTTTATTTTTCCTCGGATATCCGCGGATACGGATACGGATACGGATATTCGGAACATCACTAATACATACCAATAGATATATTTAACGTTTTATATTAATTATAGAAAAAGTTTTAACTTTAACTATTTACAAAGGTTATATTTTCAAAAAGGGTCTTATGTCCATAAATTTTCTAATCAAAATTGTATAATGCCTTTATCGATACAAGGTTCAAATTTGATTAAAAACCTTTTTCAGCTGAGTTAAATGTTTCATGAAACTCGAAATAGAGAAATAAATTCATATATTGGAAGACAATATTGAAAAAGAACTTGTTTTTCTTAGATTTTCAAGCTATATAGAAACCTTACAATTCCATATAAATTGACTGAATTATGAATTCAATGTTTTTATTTATTTCTTTGTGCGAAGTAGCAAAGGTTTTCAAATTGAAATTTCACTGAAAAAGACCAACATACTAAAAACTATAATTTAACCAAAATTAAATAAACATAAAATGTACAATATTATAAAAAAAATCACTCAGAATCAGTACTCAGAATTAATAATATAGTGCGTAAAGCTGGCGATTACCGCAGAGGCGCATTGAGGCCCCAACCGAGAGGCTACGACCTCAAGGAGTCGAGGAGCCACTTTAGCAAGACACGTCATTTCTCGTTTGAAGATATTTATTTAAGTATTATTTTATTCGGAAGTGTGTTGAAAAACGTCGTATGATACACGTGTAAATTGATGATTACCATCCTCGGCTCTTTAAGACCTCAATGGTCCTCACCGGTAATCAGTAATCACCAACTACTACTACTATTTTCACTTAAATTCAAAGACAAAAATAATACGGACTTAAAAAAATCTTCTTCTTCAGTGAAACCTCACTTTAAGTAAAATGTAAAAAAAAGAAATTCACACAATAGCCTCAGTATCACTAATGACGTGAATCCCATGCTTAGTAAGAATCAATCTGACTATATCATTACAGCTTCTTGTTTTATAATTCCTTCCAGAACTTTCTTTTATCTTAATACTTTTCACTTTGTCACACAACTTACTAACCTCAGACTTACTCTTCTTCATCTCATCGGGTTTCAACTTCCTTATAGTGGAAGAACAGCGTTTTTTCGCCGGTTCAACTTCGACCTTACCAACATTCCCTTCACTTACCCTCCTTTTGTAAATATCAAAGTCAGAATCTTTGCTTAAATAACTATCGAGGGAGCTGTAATTAGTGTCAAAAGTTACCTTATCTAACTTATGTTCAGAAGCATCGCTGACTATTTTAACAGCCTTCCCAGGGAGGTATGTTGAGGGGACTTTATCTATGTACGCCATTTTAGGCTTTAAAGTCTCACAAGCGGGGCTAACGGAGTCAGTATGTGAATTTGGCATCAGGAAGTTCGATTTTCGCGGGCGTTTCACTGTGATCGTCTCATCGACTATGGATGGTTTGTCTCGAATTGATATGAGAATGTTTTTGAAGCTGGTTTCTTCTGGTGATGTCATCGTTATGTCTTGTGGTGAGCGTTTGTCGTAGCTAGCTATTAGCTCGTTAAGAATTGTATACTCACTGTTCCAAGGCAGCGTGTAAAAGGATATTTGGGTTAGTATATTAAATATGTCACGGAAAAACATGCTGTATAGTTTGAACAACAAGATAACAAATGCAATATTGTAAAATTTAAGATGTATATAAGGCGACAGGTGACCGATATTTAAACACGTGATGTTACTCATGATAAAAAATAACTTTCCCAGAAAAACTATTTTGTCTATAGTCATTAGTTATATTTTACTACCAACTTTTTTTTTTTTTTTGATTTGACTAGAGATGAACCTCTACGTTTGTTTCGGCATTTCATCTCAAGTGTCAAATAAGAAATGCCGGCTTCATCTAATTTTTTAACATAAAATTTTGATGTGTAAAATTTCTGTTTTATGGCCTATTTACAAAAATAAATTCATTGTTTCATTGTTATAACAAACGTCACCTGCCAGCCTTACATCGCCCCATTAGCTGTGAGCGGCGAGGCCCCACGTGTCGTTTGAACGTTGCACAGTAATTTAGCTATTTTAATTAAGCCATTTTGATCATAAGTACGATCCCGTGTTTAAATATAGATCACTTATTGCCAGCCAGCCTATATAGATCTAAATACTAAATCATAAAAAGACAGAAAAACAATCATAAATATCAATTTATTAACTAAAACAATATTCCTATATGAACACAAAGATATAAATTCATCAAATGACTACATACTCAGTAGGGACACTTTATAATTAGTGTTACTTATCACAGACAATAAATTAATTAATTAAGATCCTAGACGAAGATAGTAGTATCTTGCGAGGTATTCAAAATTAAACTTTAAATTTACATCTTCAAAGTCCAATTTGGAATTAAACACTAAATAATAATTGAGCATTATGGCGAAGGTTCCCCAGACTTTTTCACACTGAAAATAAAAACGGAAATCGCTAAATTCGATGGGAATTTCTACACTTCTATGCGTTAATGTCAATCTTATCTACTGAACTTTTAAATTATGGCCCCATAATTTGGGTAAGATCGGTGTAAAACCAACCAACCAACCAAGATGCGAAAATACGATGTATGTAGTAGATACATATATAAATTCCCATTTAAAAAATACGAGTAATAGTCGGGTACAATGTATGACATGGTGTGACTAGGGGTGGAAAGGTTTAAGTTTTGTGACGTCACATTTCAAATTCTCGGAAATATAATTCGAATATAAGTAGAGGTATTACCTCTTTTTTCTGATTTTGAATTAACACCGTATTAATCAAAATAAAAAATATTTTCGACTCTAGGATAACACAGGACCGCCGACGAGCCCTCTGAAGAATGCCGCCAAACGCACTGAACCACGCGTGATTTTATTGTTTCTATTTAATGATTTTGCAAAACTTGTGACGTCACCCTACGATCTCAGAAATGTGACCAACTGTGACACGGACGGAGAGGGGCTCAAAAAATCATGAAATTCATGTGACTTACGTTATGAATGGCCCCTTATAATACCCGCCTTTAATTAATATTATTGTGATTAATGCTCTAACCTTGAGAAGAGAAGAGGCCTTTGCTGAGCAGTGGGTACTTATAGGCTGATGATAAATTAATATTATATTAAAATATACTCACGTATGTTCCCTGGGCGCCCCGTACAAGGAATGCTGGCGTACATAGGCCAACACTCCGTCATCTGTGAGGTACTTGGCGCTCTCCCCCCGACGGACTAAACGACGTAACTGCGTTGAACTAACTTCGTTCGCTATATAGTTCGTTACTAGGATCACGTTTTTCTGTAACAGATAATTGGGGGTTATTAATTTATTATATTATTTCACCAAACCCCACGCGAAAGCCGGCTTTCGCGCATCTATTGTGTCTAGAATAATATGTAGATATATATTTTTTATTGGGACAAGCCAAAAACAACCTCCCGAAACCGTTGCAACTCCTGTAAGCCAGGATTTACAGTAGATACTACCATGAAAACACCTGAACACTGTCCGGCGCGTCCCAGGGACATGAATGACTGTCTTGGATTCCGCAACGAAATAAATCAGAAAATGAAATTGTACCTGTGATTATAAACGCACTGACGACACAGAAAAAAAACCTTGAGCAGAGTACTTAAAGCTTTTGTTAAAAAAAAGATTATTGGTAAAAATTTGCTAACGCCAAATACACGGTAAGGAAGGGATCCTGAAATTGCAGTATATATATTATTACGAAGTTGTGACCTACTTTAAAAGTAAAAAACACACCTTATCGATACAATCTAAAAAACATTAACTCCAGACATATAATCGGTCAAGCATGACACATACTGATTTACTTTATCAAATCAATATACATTATCGCTATTCCATTCATGTTTTTGATAAAGTAATTAGTCATTACACCTACAATATCGATACCTTAATAAAATTTGCAAATCATCTAACTCCTAATGAACAAATTATTCAGAAGGCTGATACCATGGCCTCACAGAAAACCGGCGTGAAACAATCGTGTTTCGACGTGTGAGTGAGGTTACCGGAGGCCCAAATCTTCCCCTCCCCCGATTCCTAATCCCCAAAAAGTCGGCAACGCACTTGTAACTCTTCCGTTGCGGGTGCCCATGGGCGGCGCTGATTGCTTACAATCAGGTAATCCGAATGCTCGTTTGCCGACCTATTACATAAAAAAAGAAGAAACCTATTCGTAGACTACGCACTTATAAAGAAATCTAGAATATAGTAGAATTGAATAATAATGCACTAAATTCTTATTCGTAATACTGATACAGATCTTTTATAAATTTTCTTTTATTTTTAGGAGTCATCTGTTTTCTTACGAAATGTGGAGTTAGTAAGTCTGCTAATAAGGGTATCGATATGCAAAATGAAGATAGGCTTATCGGTAAATATGTCTATGATACAAAATACACACAAAATCAAAAATAAATCAAACACATACAAAATGAAATCTAGCTTGCTTCTTGCACCTACCCACCCTAAGGTAGATTGGAAGAGAATTCTCATCGCATTAAGTCCGCCTTATGCACAATTTTGGCTGTGCATGAAGAAGAAAATAAATAAAATACAATACTTTAATAACTTTTACTGTGCAAAAAACTTACCCTATATTTGTAGAGCATATCCGATTCGTATATAAACTTTCCGGGATCAGAGCCAGCCCTAGTTACCACCACAAGGCCATGACGACCTACTATATCCTCCAACTGAAAATCATAAAATACATCATCAGCCTATAAGTGCCCACTGCTGAGCAAAGGCCTTTTCTCACACGGAGAACTTGAGCATTAATCGCCACGCTTGCTCAAGGCGGATTGGCCATTTCTATCTTATAACTAGCGGCCCGCCCCCGCTTCGCACGGGTCCAACTATCTCTCTACCAAAAGGTCACTTTTTCCTAATCATCCCTTCTACTTTTCCAATATTTTCTTTGATAAGAACCTTCTCCTGACATTAACACACATAACAAAAAAAGAATTAGCAAAATTGGTTCAGGCGTTGTTGAGTTATGCGCTTACCAACACATTTTGCGATCCATTTTTATATATAAAGATAAAAAAGTTATAAGTCCAGGTTTCCTCATGATGGTTAGTGTTTCCTTCACAATTTGTCAGTGGTGTCTAAATAATCATAGAAAGCACATATTATAACTCGGAAAAAGTCACATTGGGACTTGCCAGGTTTCGAACCAGAACCCTCGTTTATAAGAAGCTGGCGTCTTAAACATCAAAACCACGACGTAGCGGATAAATGTACCAGGAATTAGGAGCATGAGAAGTAACTGGGTGATATTTAGTCAATAAGAGACTTCAGACACCCCCTCTCACCTCACCCACGGCGGGCGGCAACCAGGTGTTCATGGGCGACTACGATTGCTTACCATCAGGTATTTCGTCTTCTCGTTTGGCCACCTATATCATAAGAAAGTTGTATAATTTATTTTTGTTATAACTTAAGCTGGTTAATAAATAAAAAAGAAATGAACTCACGTCTTCATCAGACCACAACCCAGGAGTAGCGAAGGATTCCAAGAGATCAGCTCCGCATAACAACTTGACGGTGACTCCCTCTTGCGTGTTACCGTTGAACTTCTCCATTAGATTGTCCGGCTCATCCAAGCTGTTGAGGTTCAGAATATCGTCCGGCAGCCATGATGGAGGATCTGGGTCATTGACTCCTGTTAGGTAGTTGTTTATCGTATCCTGGGAAAAAAGTAGATTTTTAGTAACATTTAATAAGTCGCGACTGTGTCTCGTATGGGGTCGTTGCATAATGCTGAGCGCGGGCCATTTCGCGTGCTTGGACGCATATTTTTCTCCTACCCTCTACTTTTGTTATATTGTTTTTACAATGCTTTATGTATTTTTATTTTTAACTTTATTTTTATTATCTTGTTCGTTTTGTGTCTTTTATGCGTCCCAGATGCGAATAAATACTTTTTGTTTTTAGCTATACTTTGGCAAGAAAGGAAGAGCTAAAATGAATTGATACTACATCTGCACAGAAAACCGGCGTGAAATAACGATTGCGAATTTTTGCTGCGTGAGCGAGATCACCGACGGCCTAATCCCTTCCCCATTCCCAATCCCCAAATCCCCAATCGTCTAATTTCTGGTGTTGCAGCTCTCTATGCGCGGTGCCGATTCCTTACCATGAGGTAATAATCTGAACGCTCTTTTGCCGCCATATACCGTATTAAAAACATTGACAACATTTGAGACTTAGTCGTGGTGGCACAGAGGGTTCGAATCCTGCCAAATACCAATGTGACTTTTTCCGAGTCATATGTACTTTCTATGATTATTTAGACACCACTGACATACGGTGAAGGTAAACATCATGAGGAAACCTGGACTTATAATTTTGAAATCGCCAACCCGCATTGAGCAAGCGTTGTGATTAATGCTCTAACCTTGTCCGTATGAGAAGAAGCCATTGCTCAGCAGTGGGCACTTATGGGCTGATGATAAGACTTAGTTCAAGTTTTTTATTTCATTCCTCAACTTATAGATCTTTCAGTAACGTAAGTAGATTGAGGCGAGAGGGAGTGTCAGACTTTTACTGACTAAAAACCCCTCCGTTCCTTCTCCTGCTCCATCCAGAGTCCGTGGTACCTTATTGCGTAATAGAAGAAGGCTGGACTACTTTTTTTCTTTGCCTACGTAGGCTAACTCAAGGAGAAACGCTAGCTACATATACTTAGGTAAACTGTAAATGCCTCCGATCGATGTTAACATATTTTTTCCCATGCGGTCACTCATCCTTTTTACATTATCTTTTACCTATTTTCAACCGACACAATCGTCTGTGGTCAACCAAAATGATAATTTAACCATACTTAGTTTTATTTTTAAATATTTTTATTCTCAGACTAGCTGTCCTGTTGCACTTTTTACCGCCTCAAATATAACTATAGGTACATATTTTCTGACCCTAGCTGACCCGGCAAACTTCGTTCCGTCTCATAATTAACTAATGCTTTCTAACTTTTTAAACCTTCCCTGCACTTCCACGAGTATTTCAAGACAATAATTAGCCAAATCGGGCTAGTCGTTCTCGAGATTTAGTGAAACTAACGACCAGCATTTCAGTTTTGTATTAAGATATAGAGTTTGACTTCGATTGCTAGTTTATCGTCACTATTTATTTCTTAGTTCAAGCGTCCACATCACCGGCATAAGATTTTTGAAGGTTTTCCATTTATATTAGGATTAATTTCTGACTATTGAGTTTTGTTTCTGGGATAGGGCGGGAGACGAGTGGATGGACGCCCATCAGGTAAACAATTATGATTAAGGATTAAATTATTAGGAGAACGGTAACCTCACTTACACGCCGAAACACAACGCACGCGTTGTATCACGCCGGTTTTCTGTGAGACTGTCTCACGAAAAGTGGTCATGGTATCAGTTTGTTCGAGCCAGCCCATTCACGGTCGAGAATGGCTCTGCCACACTTTAGATATCTTATAAAAAATCACGACCGTCCCTCGATTGATCGATCTTAACATTAAGATATTCCTGTTTGGCTAAATTTATTGTCTTATGGCTATGACAGATCACCAAATACACAAGAAATAACGTAGGGATACATTTTTGAATAGTAACTATTATGAGACATTCGGAATTTATTGAAAATAAGGACTAATATAGTATTACTATTAACTTACAAAAGAGTTGGATGCGCGACGTCACCGCGACGCGCACGCTGCTTAAGAATAAGAGTCCCGTTGTGACTTGAAACTGGTACAACTTTTCTCAATTAATTCACGCGAATAAGTAATTATCTATACTTTAAATATTATAAAGCTGAAGAATTTTTTTGTTTGAACGAACTAATCTCCGAAACTACTGGTTCAAATCGCACAATTCTTTTTGTGCGTACACGGTGCTCATGAATAAGAGTCCCGCTGTGACTTGAAAGTATAGTATAAATTTATAGTATAGTATAAATTTACGTAGATTCATCTCCCCCCTTTTCTTACCTGATGATACTGCAGCGATACCCTGGTCCTCGTCCACCCTGACTGCTGCGTCTCCCACTCTGATACCTTGATCCATGATGAAGACCTCAGAGCTAACTTCAACATTGATATCCTGAAACCAATTTATTACGGGCTTCACTACATAGTTTATACAAAGTCGCTTTTTTTTTTTTTTTTTTGGTGTCGTGTTGGAAAATCCTCATGGAGACCCACCGCCCTCGGGGTAAGGGCGAAGGGTACTGTCAGACTCTTACTGACTAAAAACCAACCCGGTGTTCCTCCAATAAGCCATCAACCGGGGGGCGAGCCGTGTAAAGTGCGGCCCGAAATTCCACCGACTGTCGAGAACGAGTCACCGACTGTCGAGAACGAGTCATACAAAGTCGCTTTCTTTGTCCCTATATATCCCTATGTATGCTTCAATCTTTAAAACTATGGAACGGATTTTGATGCAACTTTTTTGATAGGTAGAGTTATTAAAGAGGTAGGTTTATGTATAATAACAAATAACATCCATTCAATAGTGCAGAAACTTAGTATAAGAATTGCACCCGTGCGAAGTCGGGGCGGATCGCTAGTTTTTCTACCAAAAAATCACTTCCAGATTCTGCTATAAATTGTATAATGGTTAGCAATTGACGGTAAAATAGAATACACTTTTCGCCCTCTCTAGAGTTCCCGCGAATGCCATAAAAATCTACTAGGACTATGTGGCAACAATCTCTGATAAAACTTAAGTTTTAATCTCAATTCATACAATATATATATATTTAGAGTTTACAAGTCGAGACTTGATCAACAAATATCTTGCACTAAAACAGTAGCTTATAACTGCCTATCCCTAAAATTTACTTTGTTTTTGGGGGTGCAATCAAATGACCTCTATTATATTTTTGTTTATTTTTCGACACCCACCAATCCCCGAATATAGCACCATAAACTGATTAGGTCCAAAAAAAATAAACAACAAAGTAATAAGAAAATAATCTTATTGGATTGTCCTTTATTCGATTTTAATTTTAATTGATACATTTGCATCGGATTAAGACTAAGTTCTTTTTAATTCCTTGTTTCTGATTCACAAACATAGACATATTAACACATGTAGAAATTTTATTTATAAATTATCATTAAACAGTTTTGTCTTTATATTAATGTGTTACAAATTTAAATAGAATCAGATATTGTATATTTATCGTAACCTTGAACTGTCTGCTGTGATAGCTATTATTGTTTCAGTGTGTCTACAAACGATATTATTTTATCTTTAGCAAAGATGCTACCATGATGTAATATGTTAAAACAGATTCATATTGTTTATTCCATTCCATAATGTACATTTATGGTGGGAAAGAATATTTAAAATTGTCACAATTATGGACCCTGATGGGCCCAGCAAGCCAATAATTTGAAAAGAGAAAGGTGTTTTTTGGTATAGTATTTAGTTAATACAAGAGTAGATAGTGTTTACAATATTTATTTTGATTATTCTATTGGTCTATAACACTCTTGTAATTTTAGGATAATAGTAGCAGACCCAGCCACACATTGCTGTAGGCTAAGGTTCTTGTCATATTACTTAAGTACAAATAATTTGCAATAAAATAATATTGTGACTATAAATTGAGATGTAATAATGTGCTATTCTATCTTTCAAGTTGGATCAAAATGCACACGGAATGAAAATCAAATTTAAAATCGGTTTTGTAGTTTAGGAGTCCATTGCGAACAAACATGTGACACGAAATGTTTATATATAAAGACAGGATAGGAAAGGAAGAAGGATCACAAATCCACATATAACAAAGACCCAGAACCAGTCCTATGAGCATTTCAATAAATAAAAATTGGAGATATAAATATGGCACCTTTTTTAATTCATCAAACACCAAGAGAATGCCAGTGTTCTAGCACCTCTTGTGACTTGAATTACCATGATTGAAGGATTAATAAGAAAAAGGTTGTATTGTATTGTTGGTGGCCTGTATTAAGATTTGTTTAGGAGCTCTCATTGTGTTGGCACCCTAATCAAGACCCAGCTCTCACATAACCCTGGGACTGGCCCAGAAGGGACCAGGGAACTGAATTATAAAATAAACTGAGCCTTTCAAATTGTTATTTAAAACTAGTCTATGTTGCTTGAAGTTATGGCAAACCCTCTCATTAGGGAGGGTTTTAGACATAGAAGAGGGTTGTAGTCCAGTATTGGGTTAGTAACTATTACTTAACTTAATTCTTTTTTATAGAGATCCTATCCTTTGATACTTATAATCTATTTATTGTATCAATCAATTAGTCTATGGCTGTCAAGTAAATTGTCTTAGGTTTAATGGTTTCTAGTGAACTTTTATAATAATAAGTCATTACTTAATTTTTGCTAATGAGTAAATGAACATCAGTTCAGCATTTAGAATGCAAGTATGTCTTTGCATTATAAAACAAAATCAAGTAGTTATTACAAAACTCAACTTATTATTTTTTCAGCCCATTCAATATTTTATTGATCAGACAGCATAGTACTAGCATGCTTTTTTAAATTTATCATTTGAATATTTATTTACTGACATCATGGTGATAAGCAAAACGAAAAATTGGTTTTGATAGTTACCTATGATGGGCAGGAACCAAGTCTTTCTTCCCATAGGCGTCATGCACAGGACAAACAAGACCTCCAACCACATTTCCTAAATTCAATGTGTGAATATAATCTCGTGCGATTTCTAGAAAAAACGGAAAACCGAAATAGAGCATCCGAAATTTGAAACATTTTTCAAGGATACATATTTCATAACATTACAACAAATTATAACATAAAAAGCTAACTATGTCATCAGGTTACGGGTATATAAAACACGGAAGGTCAATAGTTCAAGTTCACTGCATTAAAATTAATGAAAAATGCAAAACAATTGCGCATTTCGACTTCGATTTCCAATATTATTACATACCGAACATGCGAAGGTGCATGTAAGTAGGGGGGCTAAAGCTCCCACAAGCCATAATAACAATTTTGCCGTAAGACATTTTGCGTTAATCTCCACTCAACACTATTTTAAAATACTCCTATTTTTCAATTAAATACACATCACAACAAATTCGCACGTCCGCGATCTGTCCCTTCATTGATTCAACTTGATAATGCTGCTAAAATTGATGTGACGGAGTAGATAAGAACACTGCTGGAAATTCGGTGTCACTTTTCCTCGATCGTGTAAAGTCATGGAAAAAATTGCCATTCTACGCAGTATATTTATAGAACAGGCGCGTTATATTTTTTTTATTAACATATTTTCACCATATTTCCTTCGAAACAAATATTTGAATTAACGATGTTTCGCAATTATATTAACAAATATTTATATAGAGTAATTCGAACAATCAAAAATGCTTTTTTTATTTTTACGGCCGCTTGCCAGTTTTATCTGTGTTTTGACGTATAACGGAACAAGCATAATACTCCTAAATGAAAAAGACAGTTCTTTAAACAGGTAAAGAGTAAATATTGATACCTTTTAGAAAAAACATATTACAATTTGAAAGATGTAGTGACAGTTTAAGTTTAATGTCATTGATAGAATTGACATTATGCTGTCTTTCAAAATTTCATTCGGCTGCTACCTTGCAGATATTGTCACAATTCTATCAAGTTTATTTTATTAATTTACTTTAATGAAATGTAAATAAAAATGTTTGAATGAACCGCGTGAGTGCAACAAGTAAACAAGAGCTGACACTAACAGTCTAAGTTTGCAGTTGATATCATAACCTTCCTGATAAACAGCTGGGTAAACATTTAACGAGATCTAGCGGTAATTTTCCTAGAAAATGAGAATATCTTTACGTTTACTTTCATCTGCTGTGCAGAAAACGCCGTTTTATATTACTACGCCCATATTTTATGTCAATGCAGGTAAGTTGTACTAGAGAAAAAAAACTTTCTGTCGACTGACTACCTGCACAGCAAAAATACATTTCCTACTATCCTTGATCAAGTTCAAACTTTTTTAGTAGTGTAGTGAAAGTAAATTAAATTTTCCACAAAGTTGGCCTTCGAGATTGTCAATAGCTGTTTCTGAAGTTTTTTTATGAGAACATTGTTTTATTTTGTTTTCTTTTTAATAATATGAATATTGTGATTAACTACAGCACCGCATTTGGGTCACCTCTACACAGCTGTGGTAGCAGATGCGATACAAAGGTTTGAGAAGCTAACAAACCCGGATTGTCATGTAATTTTTAGCACAGGTAAGTTGTCATACTATATTTTTAAGAGCATGTCTGTTAGGCAAAGCATAAACTTTAGTATTTAAAATCAAATTGCCTATTTTCTCACAAAGCATAATGATTTTATGTCTAATTTAAACCTAGAAATATGTACTAGTTAAGACAAATAAAACAATAAAATCAGAATTGGTAAGTAAAAAAAACATAAACCTGCCTAATACTTCCTATAATTGATCATAAATGGCAAAAATCTTAAAATAATGACATTCTTTGAAAATAATTAAATTGAATGATAAAATAAATCTGTCATCAATATCTATATATTATAGGTGCCATATATTTTTTTATGACTTGATGACATAAAGGTTTGGCAGCTTATAGAATACTAGCTTCTGTTGCGCGGTTTCACTCGCTGCTCAGCTCCTACAAATCGTAGCGTGATGTTTTATAGCCTAAAGCCTTCCTTGACAAATGTACTAACAAACCACAAAAAGAATTATTCAATTTGAAACAGCACTTCTGAAGATTAGCTCATTCAAACAAACTCTCCAGCTTTATAATATTAGTATAGATTTCATACAAGATTCTGTGCCTAATTTTACTCTTAAGAATATGAAAGAAAAAACGGAAAATGTTTTTATAGACAGAAAAAGCGACTTTGTTTTATTCTAATAGGTATATTACCTATGAAATTGCCGAATTGCATGAAAAAATTAAAAAAAAAAAAATTATTTGAAGTGCGATGAAAATGTAACACCAATCAATAAACAAATGACTACTTTTGGAAAAAGAATCGCATGTTTTTAAAACAAAATTAATTAGCCTTAGCCTAACAAAAACTATTTTGATTTGCAATGGCCAGTACTGCAGAACGGCAATTTCATAGGTAAAGACCTATTATTTCGTGATTATAATAGTTATTTAACTTATTTAGCTACATCTAAGTAATACAAAAAAGAAATAATTCATAGAATCTCTTCAAGAACTCAATACATAATAACAACAAGACTATCAGTTGATATAGGAATGTCAATAGATTGTTATCAATTGCTACTGCAGTTGCAATGCTAATTAGTGCACTGCACGAGTTTATTTACGATTGTTGAGACTAAACATTACGGACTTTATACTTCTTGTTAGTAAAGTTGTTTTATTCTTCTCGCTAAAATTCTTAAGAACTATTTCCTTTCCTAGGCACAGATGAACACGGTACAAAGATACAGCAAGCGGCCGCTAAAGCCAAGCTGTCACTCCCGGAGTACTGTACTAGTGTATCCAATGAGTACAAGCAGTTGTTCCGAGACTTCAATGTTGAGTACACAGACTTTATACGAACGACGGAGGAGAGGCATAAGATCGCTGTTTCGCATTTTTGGGTAAGAGTTTGTGTAAAATGCAAAACGAATTTATAAATTGCACAGTGCATGACTGCATGGTTGGCGTGGTGGCTGCGCAACGTGTCGCTGGTTCGATTTCCGCACGGGATCTTTTTGTGAGATCTACAAATTGTCGTTACAGTTGTTGCTACGACCCACGACACAGGAGAAAATGCTAGTGTGGTGCAACGTTTTATTTAAAAAAAACCAAAACACCTTTTTTTTAGTAGTGAAAATCATGAAATGGCTTGTCCCGTCTTGCGTTAGAGGGAGTGCATCTCCTCTGTTTCTCCTCTTACTCGGAGCCAGCGCCGCGGTCAATTGTTTCACCCGCACCCCGGGCTTTCCCGATGTACCCTGTGTATTTGTAATTATTTTCTTTCATGCAAACCTTGCCCTTGTAACAAAGATCGAAAGAAAAAAATAAGACCTACATAATATAGGTCTTAAATAATAATAATATTTCTACATTACAAGATTAAAGTAGGTATATAAATGTTACAATTGTCCACTAATTAAAGTTCCTAACTTTATCATTGTACTGTGATAAACAAAGAAGCAATAATTAACATTTTTTTTACAGAAAAAGCTAGTGAAGAAGGATTATGTGTACAAGTCGAAGTACAGCGGCTGGTACAGCGTCAACGATGAGGCATTCGTACCGGAGACACATGTTAAGGATGAACTGAGGGACGGAGAGAATGTAAGTAACCTTTACATCAGCACTCAGTGATGGTACACTTAGCTGCAGAGAAAAGGTTTCCCCTATGCAGATAGCTGCATACATATTTGTACTTCAGGGGGGTCCATTTCGAGAAATGATCTCCGGCCACCGTAAGCGCGGTTCTGCGGACGGCGAGTAAGAGCAACTCGCCGCCCGACCAGAACCAGACCCGAGCGTACGCGCGTAGCGTTCCGCGCGCGCCTCTAAGAGCCAATAGACCACCACAGACGGGGCCCTAAAGGGCTGATGTTCAGCCGGGGTTGCGGGGTAAGCGCAATGAGGCACCGCGACCTCGGCCCAGAGCAGGAGAAGGAACGAGGGGCTTTTAGTCAGTAAGAGTCTGACACTCTCTCACGCCTTACCTTGGGCGGGAGAAGTCATTTGATGATTTTCCCCTGACAAAAAAAAGGGGGAGCGTCCATTTCTCTGCAGCCGACCGTACATTGCTTGCTGCCCTCATTTAATAGGAGGGCTGGAGACCTAAGTAAATCAAAGAGATCTACAGCGCAAACTCTGTTTGAACCCTTTGTTTTGTATAATTTGACTGTATTTACCATAGTCTTTTTGCATTTTGACTGCACGGTTGGGCAATCGGTTGCAGTGCAACGTGTCGCGGTTTCGATTCTCGCACGGAACAACTCTTTGTGTGAACCACAAATTGTTGTTCCGGGTCTGGGCGTGTGTATATGTTAAATTGTGTGTTTGTAAACGCACTCACGACACAGGAGGAAATCCAGGTGTTGGTTTTAGTCAGTTAAAGTCTAACACTACCTCTCGCCTTAGTTTAGGCGAGAGAAGTCATACGGAGCCAACGGATAACCTGATGGTAAGCAATCGGCGCCGCCCATGGTCACCCGCCACAACAGAGGAGTTACGATTGCGTTGCCGACCTTTTAGGGATTAGGGTTTTAGAGATTTAGGGATTGAGGAGGGATTGGGGGAGGGGAAGGATTTGGCCTCACTCACACGGCGAAACACAACGCTGTGGTTGTTTCCCGCCGGTTTTCAGAGAGGCCGTGGTATCACTCCCATCGAGCCGACCCATTCGTGCCGAAGCTTGACTCTCCCACACTTACCTCAAGTACCTTATAAAGAAAAATACTTAAGTTCATCATTATATTATTTCCATTTCAGGTGAAAGTATCAATAGAGTCTGGTCACAAGGTAGAATGGACGGAGGAAACCAACTACATGTTCCGACTGAGCGCTTTCAAGTCGCATCTACAGCAGTGGCTGCAGAACGGTATGTTTCATTTCATCTACAAAACTGCTGAACCGATCTTGATAATCATTTTATATCAATTATGTTAGATTTTGGAAATTTGGTGAATATAGATTTCAAACTTTCTATTACAAAAAAAGTAAGTTCAGGTTTCGACACAATAAAAAATATTACCTTGCGTACCTTGTATTTATAATTGACAAGCTTGCGCCCGCGGCTTGCGGTGATATGTTGATAAAAAGTAGTCTATGTTCTATTCCGGAATGTATGCTATGGCTGTGCCAAATTTCATTCACATCCGTCCTGCCGTTTTGGCGTAATTGAGTAACAAACATCCAAACATCGTAACTTTAGCATTTATAATATTACAGATGATATGTCGCATTTATATTATGTTTTTACAGATGGAGTGATAACTCCGTCCAAGTTTCAGAAGCAGCTACAGGAGATGTTGGCTAACGACGCTTACCTGCCCGATATATCGGTCAGCCGGCCGTCCGACCGAGTGCACTGGGCTATACGGGTATGTCATAATATAGTATATTCTCGAAACTTTTCGAAAATTCATAATCATGAGCCCCACGTTGCTCGAAATAAGTCGAGTGAACTCATCGAACAGTTAGACTTGTATCAAGGTGCTTGAGTACCATCATCATCATCAGCCGGGAAACGTCTACTGCTGGACAAATGCCTCCCCCTTTAAAGGGAGGGTGGGGGTGCCATAATCCCCACGCTTGGTAGGCGGTTTGGGGAACGCAGTTAGGTAACCGATATATGGATGAAATGCTGCTGCCCACACCTCGATGTCTGGTCGCAGTTTAAGGACATATCCGGGTCCAGAAGAAAAACGTTGTCCCATGCTAGGGTTATCTCCTGTGTATATGCCATCGTCGGACAAATCAGCAACATTGCGTGCCTTTCTTCAGAACGTGTCCGTTTCCTCTAAAGACCACAGCAGAATGAACTTGCATGGTTCTCATACATTACCCTTATTATATTTTACGTTGCCTTTTCTTTAAAAATGACTGACCTCTAAGTGTGTATTGGTATTTCTTTTCCAAGAAGTCAGTTAGGATATGCCGGATTCATCTAGTTTTTTATATATAATTTTCACGTGTGTGTAACAGAGCTTGTTTACGGTCCATATTTGCAAATAATAATTCTTTGTTTAATTGTTCCATCATTATGTTAGCTCGACTAGTTTCAAGCCACGACAGGGGCTTATAGTCATGAGCAGTAGTTTGCAATATTCACCCCGTTTATCTGTGGATGTGCCAAACTATGGCATGAATAGGTCGGCTCAACCGGAATGACACCACGGCCTCTCAGAAAACCGGCGTAAAACAACCAAGCAAATGTGTTTCGCCGTATGAGTGAGGTTACCGGAGGCCCATTCCTTCCACCTTCTTTCCCAATCCTTGAACACCCGAAACTCTTATCCCTAAAATACTGGCAACGCACTCGACAACTCCTTTAGTGTTCCCAATGTCCATGGGCAGTGCTGATTGCTTACCATCAGGTAATCCTTCAGCTTGTTTGCCGACCAATCGCATAAAAAATAACGTTGTTCCACTATTGCTCATGATAATGATGATGACAAATCACAGGTACCAGGTGATGAAGAACAGAGCATCTACGTGTGGTTGGACGCGTTAGTCAACTACCTGACGGTGGCCGGGTACCCTGACGAGGATATCATGATGCAACGCGGTAGACCCTGGCCTGCAGACGTACATGTCGTTGGCAAGGACATACTGAAGTAAGTGACAATTTTCAATGACATTTCATCAGCCTTTAAGTACTGCTTAGCAAAGGCCTCTTTTCACGCGGAGAAGGTTTGAGCATTAACCGCCACACTTGCTCACGGTTTTTTTTTTGAGGGGAAAATCATCAAATTGCTTCTCCCGCCCAGTGCCGGGCGGGAGGGAGTGTCAGACTCTTACTGACTAAAAACCCGAGGCCGAGGTCGCGGTGCCTCATTGCGCTTACCGCAACCCCGGCTGAACATCAGCCCTATAGGGCCCCGTCTGTTGTGGTCTATTGGCTCTTTGAGGCGCGCGCCGTACGCTCGGGTCTGATTCTGGTCGGGTGGCGAGCTGCTTTTACTCGCCGACCGCAGACCCGCGCTTACGGTGGCCGGAGATCGTCCCTTGATCTCCGACGCCCGTAGTGTCGCCTGTTGCGGCGGCTGAGGCGTGAGGAGGAGGATTGCTCCCTCACGCGGGCCGCCTCCCTCTTTGCGAGCATAACTGCTTCACAGAAGGAGGAGACGGCGTCCCAGTTCCTCTCACTCCGCACCATGGCCTCGACTAAGGCCGGGCGCGAGAGGTCGCCGCCGCCGATCACTTCCCTGAGGATACGGCGGTGCTCAGCCCAGGCAGGGCATACCGCTACCGTATGCTCCACCGTATCCTCTAGGTGGTCCTCACAATGACGGCACTCGGGCGTTTCCTCCCGCTGGATCCGAAACAGGAACCTACCGAAGCTGCCGTGCCCGGTAAGCACCTGCGTCAGACGGAAGGTGAGGACGCCGTGGCGTCTCTCAAGCCACTCCTCAAAGAGGGGTCTTACCGCTGATGTAATAGCGTGCCGGCACTTGCTCACGGTGGATTGGCGATTTCCAACTTAAACATAATTAGAAACTATTAGTTCAGATTTACTCACGATATTAACGATGTACAATTGGCACCACACTCACTTCAATAAAGGAAATATATGGTGTGTTTTGCGACCTCTCAAAAGCATTTGATTGCATTGATCATTTAACACTTGCTGAAATTAAATAATTCTGACAGGATAAGACACTGCGCTTAGTCTGTAAAATTATATTTAGAGGATCGGCAACTAAAGGTTCATGTAAATGGGTCTAACTCTAAAGGCTCAGAGATGAAAGTGGGCGTTCCGCAGGGTTTGATATTGGGTCCCTTTCCCTTTTTAGTTATTAAGGACATTTCAATTTCTAACTGAACCAGGAATGGTACTGTTTGCAGATGATACTTTGTTAGTTTTTATAATAGTTCGATGTACTGATAATTTAACGGTAATTTGACTATTTGATCTAGATTCCACGGCATCTACTGGCCAGCGTTCTTGATGGCCATCAAGTGGCACCCCCCGCGCCGCCTGGTTTGCCACTCGCACTGGACGGTGGACGGCAGCAAGATGTCCAAGTCGCTCGGCAACGTCGTCGCCCCGAGGGACACTCCCGTCGGGAACGAGGCTCTGCGCTATTTGTTGCTCAGGGAGGCTACTATGGCCAGTGATGCCAGTAAGTTTACATTCATTTCTACCATTTTTTGATAATAACTACAAAAACATAATTTGTGATAATCTTGATTAAAATTATTATAAAATCGAGGGCCATTACAATGTCCAGTAGTTTTTTTTACTCGCTATAGTCAATGTATAATGTTAATGTATTCAGTGCATATTTTTTACCTTTTTTATGTCGACAAACGAGCAGACGGTTTATGTGATGGTAGGCATTCGACGTCGCTCATGGACGTCTGCAACATCGAGGACTGGCCGTCACCGTGCCGAAGCATGGCTATTCCTTCCTTCTTACAAGTACCTTCGTGGCACACATTTCATGCAAATTAAAATCAATATTATAAATATTGATACATAGCTGTTGGCTATTCGGCTATTTGCCTGCACGTTTGGCTCACTGTATGATCCACAAATTATTTTTCCGGATCTGGGTGGATTTTGTATGTTTGTAAATACACCCACGACACAGGAGAAAATCCTAATGTAAGGCAAAAATTTTATGAAAAATAATGTAAAACAGGCACTTATTATTTCCTCACAGATTTCAGTCTCACAAAACTGATCAACGTGGCTAACTCGGAGCTAGCAGACAGCCTGGGTAACCTGGCGTCTAGATGCTGTGGCGCGGCCCTCAACCCTCGCCAGGAGTTCCCCGCGCTACAACCGACGGAGTTCTCGCAACTCTTGCAGGGAGAACACGCGGCTTTACTTATAGAATATGTCGAGGCACTGCCTGGTAAGAAAAACAATTGTTTTATCTTGATCTTTCAGCCTGGTTTACGGGTGTAAGCGCGATAATTAACCAGAGTCCCGACTTGAAGTAAGAAAAGGAACGGGGTAATTTTTAGCCCGAAGATTCTTTTTTTTTATGTAAACGATCGGCAAACGAGCAGACGGATTACCTGATGGTAAGCAATCAGCGCTGCCCATGGACACTCGCAACGGAGTAGTTACGAGTGCGTTGCTGACCTTTTAGGGATTAGGGATTTGGAGATTTTGGGATTGGGGGAGGGGAAGGATTGGACCTCCAGTAACCTCACTCACACGGCGAAACACAACGCTGTGGTTTTTTCACGCCGGTTTTCTGTGAGGCCGTGGTATCACTCCGGTCGAGCCGACCCATTCATGCCGAAGCATGTGGCTCTCCCACGCTTTAGCATGGCTCTCCCACACTCAATTCTGACACTCCCTCTAGATTCGAGTGAAATAAAGTAATTCGACGAATTTCCCCGCTCTTAAAAAAGTTCAATAACTTCGTCCATTGTGAATATCAAACATGTCACACCCAAATAGCTTAATCAGCCATTCACAAACCAACAAGATGATGTTTATCTTTAATAAATAGCTTTTGTTGAAAATGATTACCTTAAATGATATCGCTTTACGATTTTGGCAGCTCCTCATTAGTGATGGCAGTACAATTTCTGTGTCGGATCGCTGTTCTTTATTGTAGTGAATCAATTAATTGTAAAAAGTAATATGAAGATTACCGCTATCAAAAAAAATCGTATCAAATTATAATTTTACAACTATAAAACTTATAGTATAACACATCTTGTATCTCTTCCAGAAATGTGTTTCAACTACTATAAGAACTACCAATTCTACAAAGCAGTCGACTCCGTTATAAAAGTGTTGCACGTCGCCAACCTGTTCTTCGAAACCAGCAAGCCTTGGGAACTACGTAAAAACCCAGAAAAACAAAAAGAGCTAGACGTAATCTTACACGTTACCATGGAAACGCTCAGAATATGCGGCATCATACTCCAACCAATAATACCGGAGATGTCGAAAAAACTACTAGACAAACTACAAATTGGTAGCAATTGTAGAAGTTGGCAACACTGCGAGACGCCATCTTGGCGTTTGAAAGGCGCCATTTATGAAACTAAGCACATTCAGAGCGGGAAATTCGTTCTGTTTCAACGTATTTATGAGAAAAAACAGCAAGTTGAACGAAAACCTGCGGCCGATAAGAGCCAAGTGAAGAAAAAAGCTCAAAAGAAAAAAGTTTCTGTGTAGATGTGTATTTTAAATCACGTAGCTAGACACGGGTTTTAGAATTGATCATTATTATTATATTAAGTGGTGTCTTCTCAAAGGTCTCAGTTATAAATCGTTTTAGTAGTTTTCAATTTTGTGCCTTTTGCGTTTAAGGTTAGAAAATATAATTAGCCGGAGTTGCGGGGTAAGCGCAATGAGGCACTGACGCTCAGCCTACAGCAAGAGAAGGAACGGGGGAGTTAAAATCAGTAAGAGTGACACTCCCTCTCGCCTCACCTCGAAGGGAGAAGTCATTTTAATGATTTTCCCCTCACAAAACAGAAATACATTACCATGGCGTAAAACCTATCAATTTACTATAGTTTAGAGATACATTTATATGTCGTTATCGTGTTGCGTGCTCTTAGAAGTATAAAACAGCCTTGTTTTTGACACAACACGCCACGCCATGCATCGTAATGTGTTTCTGGCGGTATTGTCAAAAGTGTTGCCATTTTTAAAATACAATTTTATTTGGTAGGAATGTTTTGTTCTTGTATGAAATAGTCATATTATTGTAATTCGGGTGTAGAATGGTTGTATTGTTAATACATACATATCGGGGTATAAACTTTTTGTAATGCCTACCAGACAATATCTTGCTTATTTCCCCAAATGTATTTATGTTTTACTTGATTTTAATGAAAAATTATTTATCGTCATGCTAATATTTATTATTCAGTGTTGCAAAAGTAAGAAAGTTATTAAGAATATTTACACACTTTTGGTAGTTACTTGAGTACATAAACCTTTCTCAATATATACGCGAACGCCGGTGTACTATTGGGGTTTTATGAATAAAACGTTTAATTAATGTATCGAACGTTTTTGTGTTTATTTATAACCAGCGTGCAATCATAATAATATTATATTTTATTTAAATAACAGAAAAATTTATAATTTTTTCACACATGGGGATAATTTCATTGTTGCATTTCATATATTATAATTACCTACGACGAAATTTCAAATTGTTTTATCGATTTTTCTGTTGGGCGTGATTGTCTGTCTTCCAAAAGTTCGGAACCTAAAAAATGCACTTTTATAAATATTATTTCATTTATAATTGACATAAATTCGATGAGTACTATTCAATATTTGTATGTATGTATGTGTATAAATTGTAATATAAAATTAACGAAAAGACTGTTACAATTTCTTCTATTATAGATAAATAGTTGTAATAATTTGCTTCCTAACCTATATTTGAGATTATGATCTTGTTTAGTTTTAAGTAGTAATTGTATCTTGGTGCATTTGTTTAACCAATTATAGCTTTACCTAAACCGCTGTATTATGTACCCAAAGTATGCTAAGCATCGTCAAATCTATACTAATATTATAAAGAGGTAAAATTTTTAAGTTTGTATGTAGGGGGGTAAACTTTGGAATCGCTGGTCGGATTGCCAAAATTCTTTCACTCATAGATAGGTACAATGTTCCTGAGTGCTATAGGCTATAAAACATCACGCTAGGATCAAATGGAGCTGAGCAGCGGGTGAAACCACGCGAGAGTAGCTAGTCGTTTATATTTCAATAAAGGTAATCTCTTTTGAACGTCAAACTAAGACATAATACAGCGGTTTGGGTTAAACTATAGAATCATAATTAGTTTGTTGTGTTCAATGTCATTATTTTATCAGTTTGTGTTCATCTCTGTTATTTATATTTCATATAAATAAATGGTTAAATTTTATTTGTCTTTTTTTTTAAGTAATGTGAAGGGTCAATATGGACCTACTCGCGGTGCATCGTGCTGATAAGCGAAGGAAGCTCTGGACTTATGGCAATATAAAACCATACATCATGTTCCTGCCCTTGTCCCGTTTTATTTGGGTCGGCGCAATATGTTTTTTTCTTCCATTCTGTCCCGTCACCCGTCACGCTATCGCTAACTCCTCTGTCTTCCATATAACATCTCAATCCATCCATATTTTGTCTGGTCTTCCTCTCCATTCGATATAAATATAAAATGGCATGGCCTCTCATGGCGATACAAAACCATACAATGTACAAAAATTCCGCAGACTAGCATCGGGCAGCAGCTCCAATAATGCGAGAAGCTACGCACTCCAATCACCAACTCTCCTGCTTAGCTTGGTGATTATGGGCACTAATGGCACGCCTAATAAAAAAACGGCCTCAGTTCCCGGTCGCACCGCTAGTCCTGACCAAAGCGGCGGTCAGGGTAACGAAAGCTCGCTACGGTGCGATCTTCCTTGGACAGCGTTGTTATGTAGTCTCCAGTGTGTCGGAAAGGGTAGTGTATATTATGACGGATAAGAGACCGTAGAGTCGTCTCAGTGACCACTAGGTTTAATACCGGAAGTTTTACCGACTTCGCCCACGTGGTATGTTGATAAAAATTGCCTACGTCGTATTCCGGAGTATATCTTACCCATTCATGGAATTCTGAGTGCACAACATCGCGATAGTCAAAGAAAACAGTCAACATGACTTTGACTTTTGATCGACTTTGACGTGGTTTTTTCGGTTTTGGTTCAGTTGGAAGGCGCCATTCCGAAGCTTGTTGACTAGTTTGCATGTAAAACTCGTAAACCCACGTCTCGTCACCAGTAACAATGCGTTTCATGAATGTTGGGTCGGTATTGACTCGTTCTAGTATGTCCTCAGCGACTTTCATGCGATTTAGTTTTTGAAGAAAATTCAGGTCTTTTGGGACTAGCCGAGCGGCAACACGTTTCATACCCAAATTATTTGTTAAAATGGTACGGATCGACTCGTGAGATGCAGAAAGTTCGGCAGCCATCTCTCTCAAACTTGAATGAGGATTTTCAGTCACTATTTCCTTCAATTTTGCGATGTTAACTTCAGTTGCAGACGTTGATGGCCTACCAGAACGAGGCAAATCTTCCATCACATCTCGACCGCTTTGTACCACTCATAAGCACGTGTTTTTGATAAAGTCGATTCACCGTAAGCCTTCTGTAACATTTTGAGTGCCTCCGAACACGAAATTTCATTGGCGATGCAAAATTTAAGACAAACTCTTTGTTCGATATTTTTGTCCATTATGAAATTTGCAATACACACTAGATATTATAAAACTAAAAACAGCACTGTTTTTAATATAAATAACAGATGCAACTCAAATTCCGCGCCAAAATGGAAAACAGTTATGCCAATCTAACAACAACAAAAAAAAAAATAAAATTCGAATTTGGAACCATAAAAAAAACATTCATTCCTGATACTTTGTTGACTGAATGTATATCTCTTAAGAAGGAGTACGCTCGTTACTTGAAGGTTTGAAGGTCGTTTCGGTTCGGGAATACCGCCGCCGGAAGATCATTCCAAAGCTTTGCTGTGCGGGGCAGAAAGTTACGCGAGAATCGCACAGTTGCTGCCACTGCCAACCATCTATGTGATAGGGATGAACATTTTTTCGCGTGGAACGATGGCGAAATGATGCGGCGGGGATCAAACCGAACAATTCCTCAGAACACTCCCCGTGATAAATGCGATAGCAAGTACATAGCGAGGCTACATCCCTACGCAGTGCCAAAGAGTCCAGCCGGTTCGAGACAATAGAGCAGCTAACGATTCGGACAGCTCGTCGCTGAATGCGGTCCAGAGGGAGAAGCTGGAGCTACTGTATGGAGCGATGGAGCACATTCAACCGACTGGTTATGTCCCGCTGTTTAGTTCAGCGGTGGCTATAACCATGACGCTCATCTATTTAAGAGGAATTGTTATAATCTCCACACTCGCCAGATGGATTGAAAATCGATTTGCTGCTCGGTCTGTGCCAAATGTAGTCCATTGTTCTAATTTTGCTACACCCGTCACCTCTCACGTCTCAAAAGAAACACAGGATTCATTAAAAGGATAAAAAAGGAAACAAACATTCTATATCGGAGTCAATTTATTACGAATATGCTTATTAAATAATAATATTTGCATCAAAATACTGCAATAACGACTAACAGTATGAAGGAAAGCTAACCATAACACTATTAAGCTAAATACAGCAACGCTTTGCGGTTGCATTGCAACCGAGAGCGCAACGCGTTGCAGTAGCACGATCCGCAAAGATGCACAACAGATTATGGAGCCCTCCGAACATGAGGAGGCACAAATCCATTACCGATTATTACCTCCAAAAATACAGGACAACCGTTTTCACAAACCGTTTTGCGCATCGTCCCACTGCATTTTAATTTCAATACACTTAGTCGAAAATGCATCAAATGAGTATGATACAGGTATGTTTCTAATTTATAATAATAATTAATCATTATTATTATCATTATATATAAATTCTTACAAAAATTCGGTGACAACATACACATTTCTGCTTAAATGCTTATTCAAAAAATCTGTCGTCTGTGAACGCCGTATTAAAAACTTATTTCATTTATCCATCACATATTGTAGTGTTGTTGACACTATACTAATAATCATAAGAATATATTGGCATTCATATCATATCAATGTCTTTTATACATAATTTTATACTAGTATACAAATTGAAGTTACATTTTGACGTACATTGCCGTTTATGTATGAAAAATTCACAATGTATTAAGAGTAATAAAGTAAAAAATCGTTCAATGTACGTCGAAGTGTCACGTTTAAGCTTTACGAATGTTCACAGACAACACAGGTCAATGACTTTTGCCCTAAAAGTAAGGAATACTAAAAAAACCTGTACAATTGAGCTCCCGAGTTGAGCATCGTTGAGGCAACTCGTCAAGAGATTTATGCTCAACTTAAATATATTCCAATATTGACTTTACAACTTATTACATTAAAAAGTAACAACAACTTACATTTAAAAATGCATTTAGGATGGTAACACTAAGATTTAATTACTCGTAAATAATGAAAAGGAAAAATCGAGTCAGAACATCAACTCCTTGCTATTTTTTCATAATCATGTCTCAAAAAAATGTTTCAGTTTGGTTTAATTAATAATAATATTTAAAAAAGTAATTATAAATATAAAAAGGTAATTCCTACTACAAATGTAGAATTACTTGATATATCAAATATCAGTTGTAAAGTCAATATCAGAACGAATTGCTTATATCGAATAGGAGCGTCGAAGCATTGAACGGACCACTCGTTCAGTTCAATCATTCATTCATTCAGTCACTAGAAACAAAATGGCTGAACGTTTAAAAATATCTGGCCGAAGATTTTAATTTTATGCGTAGAAATGTATTAAGTATACTATTTGTGCATTCTTATAAAAATCGTTCAAAATTCCAAATGATTTTTAAACTTACAGCTAATCAATGTCCTATTTTTAATTTCAGTGTTGCAACATGAAATAAACAATTGAATGAACGAGTGAACCAATTACTTTGTGCGAATAAAAATTAACGAAAATTTGTAGCGTGATGACTTGCCTTACACAATTTATGAATTTACCCTTGCATGCCTAATCTCGACACTACACTTCGGCGATTTCCGTGAACATTCGTTTATTTCCGTTAAATTCAAGATGGCGACGAATGTTCAGGATACAAAGTGAAGCCTGAATGACGATTAAAAATATGAGGCAAATAGTGAAAGCGTGTGGCAGAGGCGGCGGGAGATTTACAAAAATATTACATTTCAAGACGAATGGATTCGATTTTATTATTATTACATGTCATAGGAATTTGTTTCCATTCACACGCGTTATTTAAAATTTTCGTCCGACTCTTATATTGATATCTATCTAAATTTTATCAAAAAGACTTCATACTCTATAGGCCCGTTCTCACATGAAGGACCGATATCCAATCAACCATATTTTTCAACAAATCGTCTCCTACATCTAACCTAATTTCTCAACCCGCAATCGCAGAGGCGGCCATCTATGCGCATACCATGTTCTAAATTTAGTATCGCAAGCATTTATAATAACAACTAATGTTAGTAAATAGCTCCTTAACAACTAATTCTTTTGTTACGGCTCACAAAAAGCCAAGTCTGGAACATTTATCAAAACCCGTAATAAATTGTCAATTATATTTTTAAGAATATCAGTTACTCGAGACTTCTAATATTTCTATTAGCCCTCCTTACGCTAAATGGCTCATAACAACCTTATTTTTAGAACGATAGAGCCGAAAATTGAATGAACCGTACCCTTCCACACGCGTTCAGCCTCCAAAAATGACAATAGGCATCGAAATATTCAATAACAATAAAAGTTATACATCAAAATGCATCAATACTTATACTAGTTTACATTGGAAGTGAATTGGCAATGTACAGTAAGACGAAAAAGTTTTTTCCAATAATTTGTGCGACGATTTAACATTCACAATCTTTGAAAGGTTTACAGAGTTCAATGAATTTGTCTCTTGTCGAAGGTAACTTCACTAGTACTCACTTTCACTTGCTTCATATATTTTTTTAAACATTACACTACAACGACAGACGAAGAACGAACTAATAAACACAGATTCCATAGATTTCCTTCTATTCGTTTCAATATTATTGCTTCATTACATAATCTAGCTTTAAGTGACTTAAGTGAGGCGGATGACTTGCTATCAAACTGTACGACTCATTGCGAAAACTTTGCATTTTAAAAATGTCTGTTTTCATATATTTTGTAAGAACATGAAGATATTTTAATAGGTAAGTTCTTAGCTTAGACTGGACATGATATCTGGTTACTAATGCTTATTTAAGCTTCACAGGTCACAATCTTAGCTGAACCGGGCATATGTACGCAATATTCCGTCATAATTCCATATAAAAACTTTTAATATCGTCTTAAGTTCAATAGAGTATTAATATAAAGTTTAAAAAATGTTCAAATGTCGAGTTCAACTAAGATTTGCTCCTAAACAATTCATGGCTCGACCCAAACATTAATAAAGCCATCAATAGGAAATATTATTATTATTCTTTTACATCAGCCATTTACAAAAGAATCTAAAAAAACTGCCCTATATAAGTGTTTTATAAAAATGTATAAGTTTTAATCTATATACATATTTCTACACAAAAAACAATGGGGGTATCCCTTCTAAAATGTTGGATTGGCATCGATATTACGTTACTTTTCAAAATCAAATATCGATATAAACTAGTTTCGACAATCGCGACCCAACACTAGTCTGATGTTCTAAAACACAAATAAATAAACAACTCTATGAAAAATAAATGTATAATATCAATACATAATAATAATAACAACATAATATTGGTTTGTTCGTGTAATACTCCAAGGTTTAACTATTGAGCTAAATGCATAATGGTTACAGAATAATATCAGTCATCCATGTCAAATATCTAAAAGGTTTACTTACAATATTTTGACATTTATCAGTATTGCCAATGAAAAATAAGATTTTTTTGAATCTCAACGCTAACGTAGAATAAAAAAATATACCAAAGAATCTGTCTGTCTGTGACTGTGAAACTGATTTAAAAAGAATAACCATGGCGTTTCTTGCTCGTTCTTTTCCATGGTAATCTACACTTTGGAACGAGCAAATAGCTTCACTAAGAGAACGGACCGACAGATTGACACTTTATATCTTTAAGCTTTGTTTGTCGCTCAAAAGTAAGGGTCTAACTGAAATGAATAATGACTTTTTTTTGAATATCCGAACTATATTTCTATTCGATTTTTGGTTTCTTTATTTTCAAAGTCAAAATATTGTAAGTATATCATCGTTAACAAAAACGTTAGCAATTGTAAGTTATTATCACTCAAATAATATCAAACCCAAAGACAATCTGTCTTTACTTACAAGTCACAGATTAAATAATCATCACAGCAAACCTTACAATTGCCAGCGCAAAAAATGAACTTAGGCTAAATTGTTCATATTTTTTTCTAACAGGCCACACTAAGATGTTTTTTACGTATCATTATTATAATAGTATAGGATTTTTAGTGAATGTTGTTTTTGTATCTATTTAAAGTTATTAAAAAATAGTTTGTATATAATAAGGGCTAAAGTCTAAAGAACTTATGCCTAGTCATAAGAGACTTAGCAAATTTTAAAATAAGAAATTATCTGGTGTATATATGTATACGCTTTTTGAGAAATTGAGAATCCAGTCTAGTTCGTAATTTAACCTTATATCCTTGAAATAAAATCTTCAAGCCCTCTTTGTACACTGTTATTATAATCAAAATAACTTTTACTTGCGTGCCAACTTTCCAAGAAAGTCACATGAGAATTTAAAAGCCATTAAATTGATACAAAAACAACATTCGCATTATAAACGTCACATAATATAAAATTTGAAGATAAAACACTAACCGACAGGTACTAGAACAAAGAAGAATGCATCATATTCCTAGGAGTACATGTTCCAATTTCATTTACACATAAGTTCTCACATACAACCTTTTGATAATTAATGGTTATTAGGAAGATTGGAAAATGATATTAATATCCCGTTTTCGCCTCTTTTCGCGTAAGTATAAAGTTCATTTTCGCGTAATTCATTTCCTTTTCGAAACTAGCTAAGCTTAAAATTACCACATTCGGCTAGTATTTTACTTTGATGCACGGTAGTGTATCGCCAAGTCAAATTAATTTCTATACAATTGACGCTACATTACGTTATACAGTTACGCCGTAAGGCAGTCGTTATAAAAACAACTTAAATAATAAAATAATTAAGTTTGTCACGACATTTTAAAATTATAATTACGTCAGGAACAAAATATTGCATACAATAATGTCTTTGAATTAAATGGACGATGAGTTTTCCAAACACGAGACTACGGTGGTCACGTGGGCATGTTAACATTAGCTATTTTTGTTATTTATTCGTTTCTATGATAATTCTATATCTTTGTATCATCATTGGTGTCAGCATGGGATCGCCTTACCTTAATCCATACTTTAGTTAAACGTCTCAAAGTGTGATAAGACTCTTTTAATCGGGGTTTAGCGTATAGGTAATGTGTTTGCTTACTTTTACGTGATGTTTTCACGTGTTCGGCAGTGCACCGCCAAGTCGGGCGTTACCTAGGGAGTGGGGCTGCGAGGGGGCTGCGCGGGCGGTCAGCTCAGTGCGGCAGGGGGCGCTACCGCCGCGGGGGGCGCAGCCTCCGCCGCCGGCGGGCAGGTCACCGCGGGCGGCGCGGGGGACGACGGCAGTAACAGGTGCTCCGGTACCGGCACGGCGCGGAGGCGCGCTGATACCTTCTTTTGTGGACATAATACCTGCAGGTAGGGAATGCTATGTTAAACTATCATCTTGTAACGTATAACAAGTACCTAAATTAGGCTCTACTACAATTTCAACATATTCTTTCGGTACCATCAATTTCTTGACGGCTGCTTTCTGAAATTCGCGAAAGGCCAGTTGGCAAAACAATTTCTTATCAGTTTAACAACAATCGGAAACAAGTTCAAGACAAGCATATAACATCATAGCAATATTAACACAACGTACCCTTCTGGCAAATAAGAAGCAGCCCTTCTCCTCCTCGGGCGTAGTGGTCGCCGGGACTAGTTGCAGGTCTACTGTAGCACACTCCTTGCCATCCTCACCTACATATGAAAAAAAAACTTACATACAATGCCTAAATAAAACTAGATTCACATTTGTATTTTTTGTTTGAACAATTACGATCATGCATATATGTCAATACTAGCTTTTGCCCCCGACTCCGTTCGCGTGGAATAATGACTTCCTGCAGATTTTAGTATAAAGCTATCCTATGTCCTTTCTCGAATTCCAAACTATGTTTGTACCAAATTGCACAGAAATAGTTTAGGCGTGAAGAAAAGACAGACAGACAGAGTTACTTTCATATTTATAATATTAGTTTGGATGGTATAGATATAGTTTAGACTAATATGTTTGAATTAGTCTCTACACACAGATAAACTCTGAGTTGTTTTAGTTATGGTTAGACGAAGAATTTTGTAAATAAACAATATCAACCCAAAACTTGGCATCGGGCTCAAACTTAAAGTATAAGTCAAAAAGTCAAAAACTCTAGAGAAAAGTTTATTTTGACTATATATAATCGTTATGATCATCCCATTGCTGACTCCATATAAATATTGTATTGTGGAGGCAATGATTCACTTCCCACCCTACATATTATTATATACATACATATGTAAAAGTCAATGCCACTTTTCATTGTAATGTTATAACTCAACAATGACATTACCAATTTATCTAATTTTGGTATTGAATTATTCGTGGAAGTCCAGAGAAGGTTTGTACGTGGAGAAAATTGAACTTCAGGGGCGGAAGCTAGTAAACTTATAAAAAATGGCGACTGACCTCTAGAAAAGACATTGAGTTCAGCGAAGCAGCCGGTCTCAATCATCTCAGTCTGCCAGGGGATGCTGACTGAGCCCGTGTTGAACTTGCCGTAGAAGGTATCGTCCGCGGCGTCCAGGTTCACGCCCTTCACCGTGCTGAACTGTTCTATGTCCAGCACGTCTTTGGCGTACACCGCGTGTGGCTGTGGGGGGAATGGTAGTATTATTAGGGGAATTAATATTCTGCTGCTTCGCTCATATTACTTGGAAAATTTGCACACCGTTGTTTTTACTCCATCATCAGCCTATAAGTGCCCACTGCTGAGCAAAGGCCTCTTCTCATACGGACAAGGTTAGAGCATTAATCACCACGCTTGCTCAATGCGGGTTGGCGATTTCAAACTTATAATTAGAAATTATAAGTCCCGGTTTCCTCACGATGTTTACCTTCACCGTATGTCAGTGGTGTTTATATATTCATAAAAAATACATATAACTCGGAAAAAGTCACATTGGTATTTGCCAGGTTTCGAACCTTCCGGGCCACCACGACACTCTTTGTTTTTTCTTAAAAGAGTAAAATTAAAATATATCTAAGTAAGATTGATGATTTGACATATTTATTTAAATAGGCAGAATACGTTTTATTTTTTAATTTTTATTCGCTATATTCAGAAACACAGGATCCTTGTTTAGAATTAGGTGTTGAAAAAATTGGTTGATTGATCACTCGATTTAGGATCTTTTCTAATTAATAAATAAAGTAGCAAAACAACAAATTGTGCAAAATGTAAACGTAATAAAGTTTTAAATGACTAATAGTTAAGGTTGAATAAAGTTGTAAGTCGAATATATTTATTTTCAATTCCAAATAATGTTGTTTAAGAATTTATACATTACGGTCGACCTGTATTTATGTTTTTGAATGTTAGATTTATAAATAAGATCGACAAAGTGTTTAGGAGGTGAGTGATACGTACGTCGGGCACGAATGGCGCGTCGACCATGCCGGCCTCGAGGCGCGCCCAGTTGAGCCTGGCGAAGAAGCGGTGCGCCTTGACGAGCGCGGCGCCGCGGCGGCCGGCCGAGCAGCCAATAAGGAAGTAAGTGATACGTACGTCGGGCACGAATGGCGCGTCGACCATGCCGGCCTCGAGGCGCGCCCAGTTGAGCCTGGCGAAGAAGCGGTGCGCCTTGACGAGCGCGGCGCCGCGGCGGCCGGCCGAGCAGCCAATAAGGAAGTAAGTGATACGTACGTCGGGCACGAATGGCGCGTCGACCATGCCGGCCTCGAGGCGCGCCCAGTTGAGCCTGGCGAAGAAGCGGTGCGCCTTGACGAGCGCGGCGCCGCGGCGGCCGGCCGAGCAGCCAATAAGGAAGTAAGTGATACGTACGTCGGGCACGAATGGCGCGTCGACCATGCCGGCCTCGAGGCGCGCCCAGTTGAGCCTGGCGAAGAAGCGGTGCGCCTTGACGAGCGCGGCGCCGCGGCGGCCGGCCGAGCAGCCAATAAGGAAGTAAGTGATACGTACGTCGGGCACGAATGGCGCGTCGACCATGCCGGCCTCGAGGCGCGCCCAGTTGAGCCTGGCGAAGAAGCGGTGCGCCTTGACGAGCGCGGCGCCGCGGCGGCCGGCCGAGCAGCCAATAAGGAAGTAAGTGATACGTACGTCGGGCACGAATGGCGCGTCGACCATGCCGGCCTCGAGGCGCGCCCAGTTGAGCCTGGCGAAGAAGCGGTGCGCCTTGACGAGCGCGGCGCCGCGGCGGCCGGCCGAGCAGCCAATAAGGAAGTAAGTGATACGTACGTCGGGCACGAATGGCGCGTCGACCATGCCGGCCTCGAGGCGCGCCCAGTTGAGCCTGGCGAAGAAGCGGTGCGCCTTGACGAGCGCGGCGCCGCGGCGGCCGGCCGAGCAGCCAATAAGGAAGTAAGTGATACGTACGTCGGGCACGAATGGCGCGTCGACCATGCCGGCCTCGAGGCGCGCCCAGTTGAGCCTGGCGAAGAAGCGGTGCGCCTTGACGAGCGCGGCGCCGCGGCGGCCGGCCGAGCAGCCGAGGCGCGCGCCGCACGACTTGGCCAGCAGCGCGCCGCATAGCGACCGCGCGCACTCGCTGAACTTCGACGAGTACTTCTCTTGCTCGTGCTGGTACCAAAAAAAACTCACACGTTATCTTTTGAGATCCCTTTTTTCCCGTCCTTTCTTACAGCATGTAACTTAAGTAGTGACCGACCGAAACTGGTTTCCCGACCGAAACCGAAACCGAATGTTCGGCCGTGGCTTCAGTTTCGGCCGAAACCGAAACTCACTATAAAATTTCTTCAAATACTGAAAATTGGTGCATTTTACCTACGATTTTTACACTATTATTTTTATATTTAAAAAAAAGAGGAGGTACTATGTTCGGCTGATTTTTTTTTGTATGTTCACCGATTACTCGGCCATTTATGAACCTATTCCCAAAATTCTTATTTTGTTTGAAAGCTTATACTTCCGAGAGGGTCCCATTTTTATGATAATGGAATCTTAGGGAAACCGAGGGGAACTTTCAAAAATTGTAGGGGCGAGTAGTGCTTTTGCATGTTGTTTTAGTAGACTTTTTACAACGCTACAACTTGCCGATGGTCGAATTTGATCTGATGATAGAACCGGAAGACAGTCGAAGGATCTTCTTGATTATTTGGAGTAGTTACCTTGTGTTTGGGCTTGAATGATTCGTATTGGTGAGCACTTTGCACCAAGATTGATCGTGACTGTCATTAGGGGTCTGATGATGAGAACGAAAGACAGCTCAGGGAACTCCTGAACCGTTCACAGTAACTACCTCGTGTTTGGACTTCATTCATTTATATCGATGAAAACTTCGCACCTATATGGATAACAATGAAGTTATGGAGTAAATCTGATGATGGAGCAGGAAGACTGTCGTGGGATCTTTTTGACTAATTGGAGTAATTATGTTGTGCTTGGACTTAATTCATTTACATTAATGAGAACTTTGCACCTATATGGATTATGTAAGTATATTGACAGTCGAGGGAGTTCCGTTCGTCTTCACATTCGAAAACCATTATACTTGCTTGCCTTGCCTATCACTTAAAATGGTGAAATACCTATTTTTTAACAAAAATATTCCGATTTCAAAAAGTAAACTAAAAAGCAAAAAATAAATTTTCTTTGTAGAAATTAATACATTATTTCATTTAGTTAAATAGAAAATAATATTAAAAACCATTTTATAGTCTTGAAGTCGGTGCCAAGTGAATCATCAAAATCGTGCCAAAACAACAAGAGTATTGGAAAAATATATTGATCGGCACCTCCTATAACTTACAATAGGTATATAGATAATCTTTAAACTATTTTTGTTTTACTTGGCCGAATGTATTAATTTCTACAAAGAAAATTTATTTTTTGCTTTTTAGTTTACTTTTTGAAGTCGGAATATTTTTCTTAAAGAATATTTTTCAAATTAAGTTCTCAGTCAAATCAGTCATCTAAATACTAACACCCGGTTTCTAAAAGGCTTGTCAACGCTAAAATTAACTAATCTCCTGTTAAATCTCTTGTCAAGTCATCTGATTGGTTGTTGATAATTCAGTCAACCAATCAGATGACTTGACAAGAGATTAAATTGATTTTATTTTAACATTGATCGGCCTTTCGGAAACCGGGGGTAAGTATTGGTATTTTGAGATCTTTCCCTTTAATACTTTGGATTGTATTTGTACTTAGAAGAATAATCAGTCTCTTTTAGGTACCTACCTCTTATATAAAAATTATAATTACTATCACACCCAATTCCAGTCTCAACATAGATAATAAGAAATCACATTTTTTTTTAAGTTTTATTTGCACAATCAGTAGGACAGTTATGCTTGCGTGAGTGCCAAATAAGTTTCGGTTTCGGCAAAAGTTTCGGCCGATTTTGGGCGAAACCGAAACTTAATTTTAAGCCGAAACTCGGCCGAAACCGAACCCGAACTTTCGGTCGGACACTAAACTTAAGTGAATATTAAAGATATTACTAATTTTAAATAAAAGGACGTAATTGTAGCAGTGGTATCGAGTGTTGCGTGCCTATTAAGCGACGAGTGTTATTTTCACATGGTCAATTATAAGTCACGCTGTTAAAAGGAATCTCTAAGCAAAACATGCTTATATTCTCTGATGACAATAAAACTATGAATGATATGTATAAAAACATTATATAGTAATCATATTTACGCAAGCATTACAATATTTACAACAGTGCAGGCCGAAGCGGGTCGCTAATATTCGATAGATTAACATTAATATAACAATTTCTTAACCCCATCAATTACCAATTTAAATGTGTGCCAAAACTTGGCTCTCCTACACTTTCGTTGTTAGACTCCCACAATAATTTAACTGTAAAAGAACCATGCTTCTACACCAATATGTCGGCTCAACCTGAGTGATACCACGGCCTCACAGAAAACCGGCTTAAAACCACAGCGTTTGGGCGGCGCTGATTGCTTACCATCAGGTAATCCGTCACATAAAAAAACAGAAATTTATACTAACTTTAACCCTCCTATCGACCTCTTCCCTCTTGACCTTCTCCTTGCGCGCTCGGAAGGGGGCGCGACCTTCAATCATCTCGTACACGAGGCAGCCGAAGGAGAACCAGTCGGGGCTGAAGGTATACCTCTCGTTGTCTATCACCTGGAGTTGAGAATAAGAACAGAATATAGCGTTTTGCACACATACATATAAGGATTGGAATAGCTTGTCTGCTATGGTCTTCCCGTCCAGTTATGATGTAGGTGTCTTCAAGGCTAGGGTGATAGACTCTTAACAAGCCAATACGCCTTAACATCAAAGATTGTATCACTGCTTACCATCAGATGAGATTGCAGTCAAACACTAGAGTATATAATTTTAAAAAAGCTATTTTCAACTTAATTAAACTGAGAAAAGACGCCTGCTATCTATGTCTTTCTAATCTCTTTAGTATAAAGTTTTAGGCCCCGTTCAGTCTCGAAACTCGTCAAGCATAATCATGACGACATCTTCTTGAGCTTAATAATACTTCGTGAAGACATACCTCGGGTGCCATATACCCAACGGTGCCGACCCTGCCCCTGACGCTGCCCCCCTCGGGCACGTCCACTGCCAGCCCGAGGTCCGATATACGCACGTGGCCCGCATCGTCCAACAAAATGTTCTCCGGCTTACAATCCCTAGAAAATAAAATGAAAACATTGAAAAACAATCAAAAATCAAAATAACTTATTTCAATTATTCCTACAGGTACTTTGGAACGTCAAACAAAATTTTAAAGATGAAAGTGTCAGTCTGTCGGTTAGTCCTCTTAGTGAAGCTATTTGCTCGTTCCAAAGTGTAGATTCCGATGGAGAAGAACGACCAAGAAACTCCATGGTTACTCTTATTACATCAGTTTCAGATAAAGATTCTTTGGTACATTATTTAGGTCGTTAGATTATGTGAGAAGTTGAGAACATTGTAACACTAATATTTATTTATCGAAACATAAAAAGAATTCAAATATCTTTTGTTTAGATTGGTCATAATAATTTATATAAATTTTGTTAAGGAAAAGGAGGCAAACTAGTTAACAAGAATAGAAAATCTCAATAAACAACTGTCGGGCAGCAGCCCGTTAGGCATGATCACCTAGGCTAGTGGATCCTCCTTTACCGATCTCTTTTTTATTTGGAATAAGTCGGCAAACGACGCCCATGGACATCCGCAACACAAAAGGAGTTACGAGTACGTTGCCGGCCTTTTGAGGAGAAGAGTTACGGATATACGGATTGGGAAAGGATAGTGGAGGGAGGGGATTGGGTCTCCGGTAACCTCACTTACACGGCGAAACACAACGCTGTGGTTGTTTCACGCCAGTTTTCTGTAAGACTGTGGTATCACTCTGGTCGAGCCGAAGCTTGGCTTTCCCGCATCTCAGAGGAGTTTTCTCAAAAAAATTTACATATACATATTTTTAGATACGAAAGTAGACATAGTGACTTTGAGTAGATGTTACCTGTAGACGATGCCCATCTTGTGTAAATGCTCGAGGCCGCAGGCGACCTGCGCGGCGTAGAAGCGCGCGCGCTCCAGGCCGAGCCCCGTGTCCGCCCCGCACATGTTGTAGATGTGGAACTTCAGGTCGCCGCCTGGACAACACAACACATTACAATCCTATGTTTTTATAATAACTATCGTGAGACATACTAAATTAGGCTGCGCGACGTCGCCGCGTCCGCGCACGCTGCTCATGAGGAAGAACCCCTCTGTGGTTCGAAACTAGTAGAGCTTTTCTCAACATTTACACGTGAGTAACCCGCGAATTTTAGTTAATTTACATTACAATCCTGTAGTTTCCAACTGGTCAAATTTAATACTTTTATTGAAATGTCAAAAAAAAACTTTCTATGAATTAAGTATGAAATCGCAACATATGACGTCATAATGTTAGGAAAAATTAAATAGAAAATCTCTAAAATTAAAGTATCAAGACAAATACGAATAAAAGTATCATTATTTTTTAATAATTAATTGCATATACTGTATAGTCAAAATAATTTATAAATAAATAATTAATGTTTGACTTAAGAAACTACTTAATTGCCTATCGATGAATGTTTTCGGGTCATCAGTCTAGAATAGCGCTCAATGTAAGGCACTAAGGCCGCCTCAAGGTAGTAAATAAACAGAAACAATGTGTATTTTAAAACCAAAACGTTGGTAGAACCCACTATCTGAAAGTCGGTTATAATGGTAATGTCCATTTGGTTCTTTTTTCAGTTTTCCAGGTAGACAAAGGTTTTGAAATTGTACACGATGTGTCCCCCAATCCCTTCCTTCCCCAATTACAAATTCTCCAAAACCCTGTTCCTCCAACAGGCCGGCAATGTCCTCGTAACTATATTGGTGTTGGGCCCATGGGCGGCGCCGATTGCTTACCATTAGGTAATCCGCCTCTTTGTTTGCCGACCTATCACATTAAAAGCGTCCTTTGGGCAATAAGACTTTGGAGGCAATATACTCAATCTTCATAGACTATACAAAATATTTTCTTACTAACCATTCATAATAGTGAGAACTAAACACAACGCGTCCTTGGTCTCATACGCGTACGCGAGGTTGACGACAAAACGCGAGTTGATCCGCTGGAGGATCTGCTTCTCGATCAGCACCATCGCTTCCCCCTTGCGTTTCTTTATGCGTTTCTTCTCCAACTTCTTGCAAGCGTACATCTTGCCCGTCGCTCGGACCTGGAAAGAGACATGTTAGTCTTAGTATATTTTATACTCTCTCGCGCGGTTTCACCCGCTGCTCGGCTCCTTTAACCGTAGCGTGATATTTTATAGCCTTTACGATCTTTTTCGGTTTGATGATTGTGTTTATGTAACTTTCGGGTATAATTTCCCTTGTTTAAACGATAATTTTCCATCGAAGTGAGCTAAATATTTAATTCTGAAGCTATAAATTAAGCATCAGAAAAAAATATATAGAATTAATCTATAAGTACTATAAAGAGATAAAATTTGTAAGTTTATATGAAGGGAAAGTGTGGAAGAGCCATGCTTTGGCACGAATAGATCGGCTCGACCGGAGCGATACCACGGCCTCACAGAAAACCGGCGTGAAACAACCACAGCGTTGTGTTTCGCCGTGTGAGTGAGGTTACCGGAGGCCCAGTCCTTCCCCTTCCCCAATCCCTCCCCAGTCCCTAAATCTCCAAATCCCTAATCCCTAAAAGGTCGGCAACGCACTCGTTACTCATCCGTTGCGGGTGTCCATGGGCGGCGCTGATTGCTTACCATCATAAAAAAGGGGGTAATCTTTGGAACCGCCGGTAGAATTTCCAAAATGCTTTCACTGATTGATAGCTACAATGTTCCTGAGAGCTACAGGCTACATTATACTTGGTTTGCGTATTTTAGTCGAGCTATCGCTTTGAATGTTGCTGTTTTTAAAATTTCGGGACACATTACTTTTATACACGTGCGACGACGCGGAAGTCATTCCATTATAATTGAAAGATATAAAACAATAAAACTTAAACGAACTCAGAGAATTATTTAAGGAATCTAAAATAATGACAGTTGCCTCTCAATATATTTATGAAAATGTAATTCACGCTCATAAAAACAAAAGCTTATTTAAGAAATATAGTGATATACATAATATCAACACGAGGGGGAAAAACAAATATGTTGTGCCTGCCTCCAGGCTTCAGAAAATAAGTAGTTCGTTTAGGTGTCAATGTATACGCTTTTACAATAAAATTCCTAGCGATATTCAAAATTTGAGCCTCAATAAATTTAAAAGTGTAATAAAGGCTAAACTTTGCTGTAAAGCATTTTATAAAATAAAAGACTACTTAGAGGATAGTCAGGCTTGGGAATGAGCCGCTGTAATGTCTGCACAGGTCATGTTGACATGTTTGTAACATAAGTTACACTTTTATATACAATTTGACATTACGTTTATTTTTTTTTTTATACAATGACATGATCACATAGTGTGACATTTTTATTTTTTATTTGACATTTTTTTTTATTTATTTGTTGACATTTTTATTATTTTATATTATTGTTAGTGTAAGGACCGTGTGAGACTTGTCGTGCTTTTTTATCACCAGTCATCTGCGTTCTGACAGTTTGAGTACTTGCGCGACCCACCCAAATGTTCTTTTGATCGGTATTGTTCGTCGGACAACTCAACAGCACTAGCTATATGGTTGCAAACTGACACTTGCGTGCCTGTCTTCAGAACGGGTCCACTTAAACTGGTGTGGTTCTTTCCTCAAAAGACCACTACAGAATGAACTTGCACGGTTCTCTCACATTATGTTATTTTATATTGTCTGGACTTGAAAAGAGACTGACCTCTGAGTTTGTTTCGGCATTTCTTCTCAGAGTAGTCAGATAGGAAATGCCGGCTTCATCTAGTTTTTCACATATAATTTGACGTGTAAAAGTGCCGTTTTAAGGCCTATTTGCAAAAATAAATTCATTGTTTCATTGTTTTGTTTCATTGAACCTTATTTCGGAAACTTTTACGTTTCCCGCTTCCTACATTGGCAAGGACCCAAGTCGGTGGACCTCATGTAAACAATAACCTACCTACTTACTTGGGTAGAGAGCTAGCTGCCATCACTCTTTGGTGACACGCTATTTACATGATGGATCGACGTCTTAAAGTCCTTGAAGGACGATGGAATAATTAAGAAACTCGCTTTTTAGGGGACTTTCAGAGGAACGATTGTCAATTGGCTTGTGTTTTTAGAGATACAGGACAAGACTTCTTTACTGTCACGTTTATTTTCTAGGATCTATACATACAGTAAGCCGATGTCTGTACGTCACAGACAATATAACAGAAAAAGTAACATGAACGGTTTTTGTCAGAGCAACAGACGCCAAAACAATAGTTGTTATAATTTCTATCTGTATATCTGTAATCGCAACAAACTCAAACTCATACGTTTATTGCATTACACAAACATTCAGATCTTTATAGACCCTGTCGGATACAAAAAACTACAAGGCTTTATAAATAATAGCTAAACCTACTTATCACCAAAATTAAATTATGTTAGTTAGGTATCTATATTTACGTACCATCACATACATGAGAGAAATACGTAGGTATATATGTAACTTCACTACATAGTTTAAACTCGCTTCCTCTGTCCCTATATCCTTATGTATGCTTAAATATTTAAAACTACGCAACGGATTTTTATTCATTTTTTTTAATAAAAGTGAGTGGTTTAAGAAGATCTTTTATATGTAAGTATAGTAACATTAATTAAACGTTGCACTCGTGTGAGTCGCTAGTACTCTAAAAACATTTACCAAGACAAAAACAAGTAAAAATAAACAAACCAGCGGTCAAACTAAACCTAACAACTAAGTATTTAAAAGGAGGAATCAAAAATAATCAACTCGGTATCTATAAACGGGAATCCATTAACCGCAGCATTGTCGTCTAGCAGAGCAGAACCGAGTATTACTTTGAAACCGACGGACAAGCAACCCACTTCACTTGAAACTTGGAAACTCGAGGGGAGAGGGTATAGGAAACACTCTGACAAGGAAATCTATTAACCAACTTAATAATTGTTCTCTAGGAGTTCAATACTCAATTTTGGAGTGCTGTTGTCGGACTTGTTGGTGGTATAGTGAAACGTTATATGGTGAGAACTATGTAGGCGTGTCTAGTGTAGACAAAACTTAGTGGAAATTTATGAAATTGGAAATGTAGTAAGGAATATTGGTGACTTCTAAACTTATATAATGCTATAATTGTATATTATATTTTACATAAAGTCTTAATTGTATAGGTAAACTAGCTCTTACCCGCGGCGTCGCTCCCGTCATTTGAGTACCTACCCTACCCTACTCTACCTACCTTAACTCTATCTACTCTACCTACCCTACCTACCCTACTCTACCTACCCTACTCTACCTACCCTACTCTACTTACCCTACTCTACCTACCCTATTCTACCTACCCTACTCTACCTACCCAACTCTACCTACCCTACTCTATCCTATGTCCTTCTCCTGGCTCTAAACTACCTCCCTGCCAATTTTCAGCTCAATCGGTTCAGCCGTTCTTGAGCTATAAGTGGTGTAACTAACACGACTTTCTTTTATATATATAGAAGATAAATATTTATTTAATCCGGACCTAAATATAATAAAGTCTACATTGATAATACAAAATAAGCCCATTCGTTACATCTCATAAAATAACCTCAAAATTTTTAATCCAAACAAATCTTCATAAAATAGATATGTTTGTAAACGTTAACGTGATTTCATAAATTCTTTTGTTTAATGCACTATCTTAATATCGGAATAATAATAGTCTACATAAATTGGATGAGAGAGAGAGAAAGAGAGAGAGAGAGAGAGAGAGAGAGAGAGAGAGAGAGACCAGTGACCGCTTGGCGATTAATATTTACACATCCTATAACTGTACTAATTATCCTTATATTCCAAACACAAATATGTATCTGCTTGTTTGCACAATGTCATACTACATCATAGCATTTTCTAGGTAAACTAAATTCTTTATTGTCCTAAAGACTCATCAAACAGTAAATAGTAGATATTAAAGTAATCTTAATAAAACAAAACTCAAGTTTGGACTAACCTGACAAGCGCAGACCTCTCCGAACCCGCCCTTGCCGAGGACCCGGTACATCCTGAAGGTGTGCTGGGTGACCGGTTGCGCCTCCAGCCACTTCCACTGCAGGTACCGGTGGAAGTACATGGAACGCTCGAACTCCGCGAACGGAGCACCAGCTAGGAAACTCTTCACGCATCGCACGCATTCTATGAATATGTCTTTAGAGCCGCCTGAAATAAGAAAATACCAATAATTAAAAACCAAATACAATGTTTCTTGGAAGAAAGAAAGAAAGAGAAAAAAAGGAGGAAAGAAAGAAAGACCGTTTATTTTTGCGCAGAACACACATAGGTAAACTTAACAACTACAAAAAATAATATTACAATAATATGAAAAGCGAAACACTACTAATTTCAAATCACAGAAGAAGACTCTTATTCTTCAGAAGAATGCTCGTCGTGGCGACGACGTCGCGGAGCCAACTAGCGAGTTGAAACTAGTTTTATTTAGACTTTTCTCAGTTAGTTCACGTAAGTAAATCGTTATTTTCAATATTTTTTATATATCTCATGATACCTTTCTATTCAAAAACAAACGAAAAGTATTGGCTATGGGCTCATGGCACTTAAAACTACATAATATTTCCAAGTGTGTATCATAGTTTAAGTTATAGTTTTTAGCGCATTCTACTCTGCATTGTTTGGTTTATACTTATAAAAATCCATTGACGACGATCTAACAACTCACTAACATAAACGGTTGGACGGGGTTGAGGATGCAAACGCAATTTCGGAGTAGAAAGAAGAGACGGAGTGGTGTTTAGTCAGTAAGAGTCTGACACTTCCTTTCAGATTACTCAGGGCGAGCAAAATAAATTGATGATTTTCCTTTTTAAAACCTTCAGAAAAATAGTTTTGTAATTTTAATCTAAATCATTTAACATGTAAACAGAATAGCTCCCAATTAGACAAACAAAACTAACGTCTACCTTTCCAGGTCATTACTCGAAATAAGAACTAATCCACGATCCATTTTATTTTTATTCATTTATAAACGAACATTAGAAATCACTTGCTACGGCAACAAATTTAGCTCCCTTTATAAGCGATCGGGAAACATGACAGCCTTTTAGAGATTTTATCAAAAAACGTTAATGGTCTCATCGATTATGAACCGACGGTCATTAGACACGTTCTTAGTAGACATCTTTATTGAGGACTGTTTAGGACTTATTTTTAACGCATATTGAGACCCATTTTTCTTTATACCGGTTAGATAATGGACCAGGAATTTACCTAGGATGGGAGTTTTCGAAATTGGGCCTTGTGCCCTTTCTTGTAGTTGGTAACATTTCTTTTCTTTTTTATTGCCCTACACCAGGATTTTCTCCTGTGTCGTGAGTGCGTTTACAAACATTCAATTTCACATACACATCACACACGTCCAGACCCGAAACAACAATTTGTGGATCACACAAAGTGTTGTTCCGTGCGGGTATCGAACCCGCGACACGTTGCACGGCAGCCAGTTGCCCAGCCACCGCGCCAACATGTCTTTTACATGTCGAATTCGGTTGAATTTTACCAACAGACGGGAATCAACGACGATTTTGTTGAATTAGGCATTAAGTTTTCTGGTCTTAGATGTGTGCAGTCTCCTACATCCCAACTACGAGTACAACTTTAAAATACCAATTTAGTAGCTGACCAATGAAGTAGAATGTTCAAAAATAATACTAGCCATGCCTAGCTGTTTCATCCGCATAGTTAATAATGTAAGTTCAACCGGATAGTGTAGCTTCCTAATAGTGACAGAATTATTCGGTCAATTTTCGAAGCTTATTTAATACAAACAATCAGATCTTCCCTATCTATAATACTAGTATTAACTTCATGACTTAGTCGAGTTATCCACCATCCGAGTATAGGCCTCGAGCAGTAAACGGAACGGGGTGTCTCACCATTTTTTTTTATGGTATAAGTCGGCAAACGAGCAGAAGGCTTACCACATGGTAAGCAATCGGCGCCGCCCATGGACACCCGCAACACCAAAGGAGTTACGAGTTGCGTTAGGAGTTGCGTTGCCGGCCTTTTGGGGATGGGGGTTGCGGATATAGGGATTGGGAAGGGATAGGGGAAGGGGAGAGATTGGGCCTCCGATAACCTCAGTCACACGGCGAAACACAACGCTGTGGGTTGTTTCACGCCGGTATTCTGTGAGGGCAGGCGAAGCCATATCCAGTGCAGGCGAAGTCACTTGATGACTTTCACCCTTAAAAAAATCACGAGACTATCCCCAATCACACTACACCAAAGTTCCTCAAACAACTCACCATCAATAGTAGCGCTGGCTTCATCGATGACCTGCCGGCTGACGACGTCGGTGACAGCCTCGCAGTCGTCAGTCTTCAGGTACCTGCCGAAGACCTCGGCCGCGAGCATCGCACGCGTCTCATCCACTTCCACCTCATACCTGTCTGTCTGCAAGCAAAACTATGGACCTTCGAACATTGATGTTTATCTTTATCATAAGGCATGTTAAAACAATAAAGGAAACAGATTGATAGGGCATTGAAACTTAAGAGTGTTTACGCGGAATGGATTTATTCTTTCTTTCAAGTCCAAAATTATATAAACTATAAAACTTTAATGAAACTTAGTACCCAAATCTCATACGCAATATATTTCCTTATTACTAATCTTACTAATCAAAAATGCGAAAGTTACGACTTTTTGATGTTTGTTACTCAATCACTCCAAAACGGCTTGACGGATCTGGATGAAATTTGGCACAGGCATAGGATACACTCCGGAATAGGACGTGACTACTTTTTATCAAAATACCACGCGGGCCAAGCCGCGGGCGGAAGCTAGGCTTAGGTATAAAACCAAAATCATGGACAAATTTTAAAAAATATTTCGTATGAGAACTTACAATTGTATTTTTCTATCTTTCCAACCTCTTCCGAAAATTTACTTTGTAAGTTTTTAGACCATAATGCGAAGTTTCATTAAAACCGGTAAAGAAGTTTTCAAAATTTGGGACTCGAGTTGGGTTGGGTAAGGATACCCGCGCCGCCTAAACGCACTTATGGGGCCTAAATTAATGGTATCGATCTCAATTCTAATATTTTTGTAGTGAGGATTATTGTTACTTGTCGGATGTATGAAGAAAAATCAATCTGATAAATGGAGAATATTCTTTGTAGGTATTTAAATAAAAATATCTTAACCAATCTTGTTTAAAAGCAGAGAGTTTATCATTTAATTATAAAAATTTTAAAAAATTCAATTCAATTTAATTTGAATCGGAGACATGACAAGAAATAAAGCAAAATAAAATATAAATATCGAAAGACCGGGAGGTGTGGAAGCGAGATGGGGAGGCCTTTGTCCAAGAGAGGAGCATTATAGGCTAGAAAAAAATACAAAGACTTGAAAGAAACAATAATTTCAATGTGAATTTGAACAAATTGTTCCACAGATATTCTATTCATTATGCAACAATTTTTACGAAACCGAAAGATCAATTTGATCAATTGCTGTATCACTAACATATTTAGCAATTTGAACTTTATGATTTCGAATTAACCTTTTAAGTAACTAAAAATTGCACAAAAACAACACAGCAATTACAAAAATCTTACCAAAAAAGCTTCTTAATTTTTTTATGAAACAATTGTAAGAGTAGTCAATGGACGACTCCCCGTGCTCAACAAATTTTCAAACAACGGAATAGCTAAATGTCTATGAAAAATGTATGTGCATAGCAGGATAGAAAAATTACAAAAATCTAAACTATTTTCATTCGAAAAGAAACGCCATCTGAAAAGCTCGACAAAATTCCGCTTGTGGAGAACGGGACAGTGTCGAACAATCAAACAATATGTGAATATTTCTCCTTTTACGGGAACGGCTTTCACGTTTTCGATATGTGGCGATTCGGGATTAACCACATCTGAATATAGCGTATCGATTCAATACCACAAACCGAATACGATCAAACATTCTTTTTAGGTCACTATTCGTATATATTTGTGTTATTCCTTGCTTTTCTTACCAATTTAGTTTTGATATTATGCAAAGATCGGCTTTCTGAGTTTTCCAATTTGGTTGGCGTGTGATAAATCGAGATTGGCGATACGATTGATCGCACTTGTTTAGTAGTTTTTACGACCTTAATCATCGATATAGGAAAGTGTGTATGGAATATACAAACGAATGATAATACTGGTAAAGTGAAACGGGAGTGAGAAATAACAGTCAATACAAAAAAGGTGCAAACTTCAAAGAAACAAGAAATCAGTTCAAAAAGGTAAAAGGAAGATGATTAATACAAATTGATAAAATAGACAAAATAACAAAAGCTTTAAGTACATTCTTGTATTTATGTATGTACTAAGTACGTACTAGGAGAATGAAAACCAAAGTAAGTCAACATCAAAAATCATTTATTTCAATTAGACCTTTACAGGCACTTTTGAACGTCAAACAAAGCGTAAAGGTAAAAAGTGTCAGTCTGTCAATCAGTCCTCTTATAAGCTCATACCAACGTATAGATTCCTTAATTATTATGTTTTCGGCTTACTCACGGGCCATATTCATGAGCGGCTCATGAATATGGGCCTCTAGCATGGCTTGAACGAAACTAGTCGAGTATCTCGTCAAATTATTACGTGAGTAAGCCGAAAACATAATAATTAATTAAGAATGTCTCACGAAAGTTATAATAAAAAAGTGTAGATTCCTATGGAGGAAAGCGAGCAAAATGAAATGAATGATGAGTGTGGTACTTACCGCATCTAGAAAGTTATTGTATTTGTGGTATTGAGGCCTGTTTCTCTCGCAGAACTGTCGGAACAGCAGCTTGCCTATCGGCTGCTGGTCTACTACGTAGTCGTAACCTACATCTGTAACAAGGAAAAATTATTATTAATACAATGCATGTAAAGGTTACTTTGATGTGGACTAAGATTCAGAAACGGTATTTGAAAGAATTCTTATAGGTGTCGTTGGCAGTAGAAAATATTATAGTAAAATTAAACTTTGTTAATAGTTTGTCAGACGACACGACACAAACTTCAATACGAAAAAGTCCTCAACAGACCTAAACTCAGACTAAGAATTTCTTTCCATTGTCAAAATATTTATAGTTATAAAATAATCACAAAGTAATACGATGTCTTCACAATCATACACACCCTCACGACACATTCAAAGCAAAAAAAGTCGTTTTAAAAACAAGTACTTAATTTGCCTACTAGTTAAAATCAAACCAATATTTATACGAAGACCATTTAAAGATCAAAAGTGTTAATCTGTCGGTCAGACTTCAAGTGAAGCTATTTGCTCGTTCCAAAAAGTAGATACCTATGGAGAAGAACGACAAAAAAACTCAATGGTTACTTCTTTTCAGCCAGTTGTAAAATCACGTCCTTTGTTATATAATTAAGCTGGTTGCATTATATGACAACAGTGTAATTACTTACACATATTTAGCTAAATAATAAGAAAAAGAATACAACGTATTTAAAAAGTTCAGAGCTCGCTCGATCCTCAGCAGTTAAGACTTACCCTTATAATCAATATAACCCTCTCCTTAGCAGAATCTCGAAAAAGAAACGTTAAAGCCTTCTGAGAATTGCGCACTAAGATCTCTAGTTATCATCAACTTGAAACTTGACTAGAGTAATCAAATTGATTCACCCGAGGGCTTTGATAACACAAGTACAAGACAACATATCTAAGCATAGCCCGAGGCAATGTCTGGGAGGTCGTCCCTAGACTCAGTTTTTGCGAAATCCTTTCAGCTATATACTTGATTACGCAGTATAATATGTAGGGTAGTTAGTAAAATTTTCTTATACGTGGGTACATAATAAAATTGTGACTGAAATTATAGAATGAGACTTAAAAAACAAAATACTACATGGACAAAACTATCTCTTTTACGGGATAGGTTGGAAAACGCGGACAGATTACCTGATGGCAACCAATTAGCGCCGCCGATGGATACTCGCTACATCAACATGGAGTTCAAGCGCGTTGCCGGTCATTTGAGGGTTGTTAGTAAGAATATGGGTTTGGGATGGGGGAGAAGAAGGATAAGGTCTCCAATAACCTTACTCATACCGTATAACAACGTAAATGTTGGTTCACGCCGGGTTTCTGTGACACCGTGGTATCACTCTCAGATGCGCTACTCATCACAAGCTTTTGATCTACACTATACTACATTATTTCACAACAGCCGACGCCATTGACTTCGTTTGCATGAATGGGGCAAAAATTACCCAGTATGTTATTGTAAACTAAAACTATTCAAAACATGAATCATGAAAATCAATCAATCAATCGTCAAATTCGTCAAACAATACGGTAAACTTGATTTCACCATTCATTCACCTACCGACAGTTTTCTAACGTCTCTAAAACTCTCACTGCCACTGTCTACAATAAAACCAATATCTTAATACGAACCAAAGATAGATTCCCTATTCCGAGAGAATCGATCGGATCCAAACTCTAATCCCTCGGTTATCATGAGACTGCAATATTCTCTTATCTAAAGACTTACCGATCGATTGGTCCATAATAACTTTGGATCCCAAATACTGATCTGATTAACGTGTTTTATTTCTATCTTGGATCTCAAATAGAGATCTCATTAATGGTGGTGATATTGGTTCATGTTAGCTTGGTAGATTAGGGTTAGGTCAAGTTGCGGATCTGTTGTTGTATTACGTCAGTATTAGGCATTAAGTCTATTTTCGTTGGGAAGATTATGTTCGTGTTGTTTGATGACTAAGTTATTGTTAAGTGAGTGATAATTTTTTTTTGTTTAGTTGTTTGATTGATGTTAAAGAGAAGTATTGTTGCTAGGTAAGATTTACTTTTTATTTAGGAGGCTATAATCGTTAACGTAATGATGGATGATGAGGATACAGGAATATAATATGTAGATATAGAGGTGGAACAAGACTATTAAGACAACATCAACATAATCAGCCTTCCAGTCATCCAAGTGCCAGTTGTTGAGAAGCGGCCTCCTCTTGTACAGAGAGGGTTTGACCATAATCGCAACGCTAGCTAAAGGCGGATTGGCAATTTTAAACTTAAAGCAAACAAGTCCAGGTCTTCTAACAATGTGTTCCTTTCCCGTATATTAGTGGTGACCGAATAATTTTAGAAAATATTGTGCATGAGAAGCGGGCTCTTTAACCTCCGAGACACGACATCAATTTAGACAAAGCAACAAGAGAGATCAGAAGTATTGTTAACGAAACCTTAAATAAGACAGGTAATATTATCTTTTAACGCTATTAAAGATAAACATGTATATCTATCATTAAGGTTTTTAACCTATCTATAATAAATACAGACACCATTAGCAACCTACACACACATAACCAAGCAAAATATCGAAGAACTATCAACATCACAAAAATATCGGGAAAAGAGAGAAATAATAAGAAAACACAGGAACAAACATACATACATAATGCAGAACGCCTCACAAGTATAGGGGGAAGGGTCCTAACAACAAAAGTAATATCTTGTAGCGTTAGGGAAGCGGGAGTTAGGCGCTGAAGGTCTAAGCCGTTATGAAGATTTGTGTTGGGTAAAGAAATTGGAATACATTCTGGCCATACCATTTGATTGTCTCTTTCTTATATTGGTTTAGTTTCGAAAGTGATCCTGCTAAGTTTTCGTAGAAGCTAGCAACTAGCTATCGGATTATAGTGAGGATTGGTGACAAGGCATTTTGCATAATTCCTTTTCTACCAAGAACAAAATCTTAAAAGCCATCAATTTTAACCTAATTCAATAAATTCACTAGGTAATAGTAGTGTAGGTATTTTTTTATGAAATCTACTGGCTTCACATAGATGCAATGGTAATACTAAATTCCTCCACTACATAATGGATGTTATTATACATATAAACCTTCCTCTTCAATTACTCTCTATTAAAAAAAGCTGCATCATAATCCATTGCGTAGTTTTAAAGATTTAAGCATACATAGGGGCAGAGAAAGCGACTTTGTTTTATATTTATACTATGTAGTGATTCAAATTTTCTCCGTCTTTCTGTCATCGTCGTTTTTGTGTTTCGTGGGTGCGTTTAGAAACATACACATCACACCCAGACACGGAACAATAATTTGTGTATTCACACTATGAGTAGTTGAGTGTGTCCAAGTCCCAACGAGTGCCCAAACTGGAACTTCACAATTCACATCACATACGTCATAAAAACAACATGCTACATCACAGGAGTCAACATCTTCAATCTTGTTAGCTCTTCTACTCGTATTTTCATTTCTAATGAACATATTGTTGTTGCATACGTAAATATGTACGCGCCATTTACAATCATAGTAGATATTCTTGCGAAACAATAAACAAATAAATACTCTGTTCACATTTATGTGCAATGTATTAAAATCTGACAAATGTGTTTTGAATTTTGTCGGTAACAGGATTGAGTTCTTTTGGATATCGCTTTATAATATGCCCTTTACTTAGGTATGTTAAACTTGTATAATAACTCAACTGCACGGTTTGCGCGGGCAACTGGCTGCCGTGCAATGTGTCTCGGGCTCGATTCCCGCACGGAAAAACTCTTTGTGTGATCGCAAAATTGTTGTTCCGGGTCTGGGTGTATGTGAAATTGTATGTTTGTTAAACGCAACCACGACACAGGAGCAAATCTTAGTGTAGGACGTTTTAATTTAAAACAATTGTAGGTATTTATCGAAAAATGCGATACAACGCATTCATAGACCCATTTTTGAGGGAGAAAATCACCTTATCACTTCTCTTGGCCTGGACAGGGAGACAGAGACTCGATGTACTGACTAAAAAACACCCCGTTCCTTCAACTGCTCCTGACCGGGACCGCGATACATTATCGCGCTTGCCCCGCAACCGGCATTGGGTCCCATATGTGGTGGTCTAATGGCTCTTTGAGGAACATTCATAGACCCCACTGTATCTACACATATTTTATTTAGGGCTGACTTTTCAGTAGCCAGATAAATGTAAAATTGTTGCTCGAACGCGACAAAAATTCGGACGCGACAGCATCATAATTATTTCCCTGATAACTTTTATCTAACCATTAAAAAATAAGCCCTTAGGACACTTTCTCACTACTTCTTAAGTGCCTGATAAATTTTTAAAGCTTATTCTTCGTATAAATTAAGTTCTTCTATCGAAAATAAAAACATTGTGCAACTTGAGCTAGTCTTCTACAAGTCAAGATAGCATTTAAGGCGACCAAAAATTGCTAATGGGTATATCAAATCTACCCTTACGAGAGACACCAACTAATGACAAGCAGAGACCATCTTCGCAGTCTCCAAAACTTCAATCCACATAAATCCTTGTAAAAAGAAAGTTAATCTTAAAGCCGCGCCCACAAGCGGACATTGTTTTACGAGCGCGTTAAGAAGTGAGGTTAAGAAAGGAACGCGGAATAATAAACAATGGTTAGGGCCGCCATCACTTACACCGGTCCCGCGTAGCACATCCATTGTGCGATTATCTTCCTTCATCCTATACTATATTGCAAGGAAAAGCTTAGAGATATAAATTAAGAAATGACCAACGCAATCGTGTGATAAAATTTACTCTTTTTGGTGCGTAAACAAGGAATTTCTTTACTATCCTTTGCAGCTAGGGTTGCCACCTTTTTTTGCAGTTAAAGTACATAGGTTATTATAGGTAAGAAAAAAAAGTTCATGGGATCAAGATAAAGTACAATTTATTTTTCTTCATTTTTATGTTTCAAAACATAGTTTTATTGCTTTTTGCGGTTTGCATTAAATAAGTATTTCTACTAAAACATCTTAACAGTCTTTATTAAATTCAGAGACGCTTTGTTTCTTTCATCTCGCCATCTCGCTGTTCATCACAGACTTTTCAAAATCCCAAAAAAATCAAATCATACAAAATAAAGTATTTTCGTGTACTTTACTGTTCTCATAAAGTAGAGTACAATTATATGAAATAGAGTACAATACTTTATTATAAAGTACGGGTGGCAACTCTATTTTCAGCAGTGAATACGCAAAACTCTTAATATTCTACTTAAAGGTATTATTAAGCTTATGCCGAAGAGTTGGTAACGCGGCTGACGCAGTGTGTTTATACAATCGACTATCATGGAAAGAACTGCATGTTTGAATCCAGGACGGAACTATTCTTTGTGTAATCCACAATGGGACATGTCCGTTTAAGAATTTAAAAAATATATATTTAAGTGTTTTAAAACGGACAAAGTTTTGGGCTACGTGCTAAATAAACAGTTTCAAAAACGTTATACTTTACCTAAAACAGATAGAAAACCAGATTAACCACCATCAGTCCACTCGTAACTTCAACGTAACATCGAGCAAAATCCAAAATGGCCGCCTGATTGAACAATAAACACGTCAGAGCAAACACACAAACACTAATCTTAATATTTCCCGATGAAAATACTCGGAACATTTCCTTTTACGTCTAAATAAACATACGAACGACTGTACATTGTATACAAGCGAATATATAAAAAAGTAATTGTTTCTTCAACAAATATTGAATGAACAAATATCAATTCATTAGGATTTTATTCATAAAATCTCGTGTAAAACTTGCCTGAGGGACATCATCTTTTTCTTATGTAATAGGTCGGCAAACGAGCAAACGGATTGCCTGATGGTAATCAATCAGCGCCGTCCATGGACAGCACTGGAAGGAGTTACGAGTGCGTTGCCGACCTTTTAGGGATAAGGGTTTTGGAGATTTAGGGAATGGGGAGGCATCGGGGGAGAGGAAGGATTGGGCCTCCCGTAACATCACTCACACGGTGAAACACAACGCTGTGGTTGTTTTACGCCGGTTTTCTGTGAGGCCGTGGTATTACTCCGGACGAGCCGACCCATTCGTTCCGAAGCATGGCTTTCCCACACTTAAATCTTCATGTTTTTTTCTTTGTTATCTGACTTCCTTAACCAAATGAAAGGTTTATTCTGTATGCTTAGTAGAACTTGTCAACTTGCTAGGCTATTTACATAAAACAGCTAATTCCAAATCACATTTTTTTCTATCCTCAATATTGAAGTAGATTACAGATTCGTGGAACCTTTTAGTATTCTATGACAACTTTTTATTAGAGAAATATTAGAGAACAAAGAACAATCGAATTATTTTTAATAATTGGATTGAGAATACTCTCTGGAAGTGTGAGGGAGGAAAGCTCTAGGGATTTCTGTTTACTAGGAGTGATTGTACATAGGTAGTTTTTCCACACAGCATAGCATGCTTTTTGTTTACTTAATTTATTTAGAAGTTGTGTTTTTCATATAAAAATTAATTGTTGTTCATTAGTCTCTCTAAAGCTCAAGAACGGTTGGTCCAATTTGGATAATTTTTCAAATAAATTCGCTGAAGTTTAGGTTAGGGTTTAAAAGGTCAGAACATACAGATATAGTTGAGGCGGTACGGAGTTTGCCGGATCAGCTAGTATAGGTTATATTTATTTGGCGATAGTAATGCGTTGTGTATTGTATTTGAAATAAAGAATACAAAATATATTTTTATCATGT